GGCCCAAGAGGTGCGTCCCAAGGTGATGCGCAGCACCGAGCCCAGTGCTTTCCATAGCATCAGCTCTTCCATTTGCATGTCCTGGCCCTCACTACACTTAGAGAGAGAAATGAAGGGATCCAGGGTGAGACACCCAAAGGCAGGAGAGCATCCCCGTGGAGCTAGAGAAGACAACGAGGTCCAAGGGGAAAGTGCAAGACAGCGGCGATGCTGCAGGGAAAAACGACTTGTGCAGAAAGCCCCAGCTGAGCCCTTCCGACCCCAAAAAGATGTGTGTAGGGTTTCGAGGTCCCAAACCACGAGGGGCTGGGGACGTGCCACTCACCTGGAGCCACCCAGGGCGAGGTGGCACCGCACAGCTCGGGGCCTCCAGCCCTCGAGGGGCAGCCACGTGCGGTGGATGAAGGCCAAGGCTTTGCCAGATTGCCGCTGCCTCTGGCAGCAGGGCGGCACAGGGAGGTTCGCCTTTTATCATTTAATCAAATAAAGTGCATTTGTGGATTACACAATCATTCGCAGGCCCTGATAATCTTTTTCTGCTTAGCTCGGCACTGGAACTCGGGAGGCAAACAAAGACATTCGTAGCTGTCGGTGGAGGCCCTGGCTTCGTGCCAGCAGCTCTTGCTCCTTGGAAAAAAAAAACAGAGCGATTGGTATTGAAGAACATCCCAGAGATGGTGAAATATTAGCTATTCATTTATTTTGTCAACCAGTAAGGTTTTTAAAGTGTTTTTTTTTTTTTTTCCCCAGTAAAACAGCAGAGGAAACAATAAAAAGGAAGGGGGGGGGGGGGGGAGAAAGCATAGGATTAAAGCACCAAACCCTGCAGAAATCACTTGTGGATCTGCCAAACGTCACCTCCAAGTGGGCTCAAATCATCCAAGATGCATGTTGGAATGGAAACATTTAGAGAGTGTGACTTCAGCCCAGCTCCTGTGCAGAGGCACCCACCTGCCCGATGTGCAGCTTCCAGCAGCAGCTCCCAGCCTGCAGTTAAACCCATCCAAATTTGAACAAACGTCAATACAAACAGGATTTCCTTAAGTATTTGAAAGATTGTGAAAGATTGGTTAAAGAAAACCTTTTTTTTTTTTTTTTTTTAAGATGGGAAAAAGATCAAAACAGTCATTGCTTCAGTGGCAGCACAGCTAAAATAGCGCAGGTCCAACGCTTGCTGCCAACGGCCTCGATGCTGGAGAGCAGGAAAACCACAAGAGACAAACAAAACCCATCCAGTTTATACACACGGTAAACGCAGACAAAAGACGCGTTTGTGATCTTGCAGCCACCCAAACTTCTCCAGAGATTGGTCCCAGGAGGGGACAGCTCAAAGAAAACAGGAAAAAAGCAGCTTAGTTGGTGGGATTTTGGTTCTCATGCTGGGCAAAGCCACGGCCCCGACCCCACACAGCAGGGCCGCACATCCCAGCCCCCCGACCTGTGTACCCCCCGTGCCAGATCCCCCCTTTGGGCTTTGAGCCACTTGGGGACCTGGTCCCCAGGGCGCACCCCACGATACCAGCATGGCCCTGTGCCATTTTGGGGCACACTCCTCCCGTCTGCACCGCCCCAGAAACACAGGCCAGACACCGGCGTTAGCAAAAATGTTTAATCTCTCCTTGATGCGTGTGTTTATTTACAAGTACTAAATCTGAAGAACATTAAAATAGGAAATAGCAGGATATTTACACGATCAAAGGGCGTGCGACCAGCCGCGCTGGCCTGTTGCTTCAAGTCTGAAACAATCACAGAAAATTAATTAGGACTCCGGATTTATTTATTTTTTCTCTGCCCATTTAATTGTTTAAAACTATTAAAATCCTCTGCCTTTCGCTGGGTTCACATTAGTTCCCTCCACCCCCTGCCCCGCTTTCTTAAAGGACAGCTCGTTGTGCGCTTTGGTCAGGGCCGGGTGAGGCTCTGGGGACCCCACCACCCGTCCCCTGCTCCCCTGTTCTGAGGGACAGGATGGGGACAAGCGGCCCGGGGACACTTCCAGGCTGGGCTGCGTTTTTTGGGAACCTCAGACTGAAAAGGCAATGTGGGAAGCAGGGGCAGGCAGGGACCTGCTGGCTGCGGGCAGGGTCTCGCCTCCTCCCGGCTCCCTCCCCAAAACGCAGGCCAGGGGGCACACGGGGTGCCACCAGTGAGGAACACCCCACGGAGGATGCTTCCCGGCCTCTCCCCACCTTTCTCTTCCCCGGGCAGGGGCAAGAAGCGAGGGCAGGCTGCCTGCAGGATTAAGGACGCTGGGCATCACGTGAAAGGCAAAGGTAGCACCAAGGAGCGCCGGGGGCTGCGGGTGGCACTGCAACGCGCCCCCAAACGCGGCCCTCCGCGACAGAGGCACCCGGAACCGGCAGCAAGGGGACCCTGAGGGACCCACTGCCCCTTGGAGGGGTTCCTCGGGTGGAGCAAACCCCCGGGAGGAAGACAAGGAGAGCCCATCCCCAGGAACACACCGCAGGCTCTGCCTCATTGCCATGGGGTTAGGGACACCGGGCTGGGTGAGGGGAACCTGGCTCCCTCCTGCAGCCCTGGGGAAGGTGCGGGGAGCCACCAGGCAGCAAGAGGAGCCCTGAGAGGCTGGTGATGCTGTGACACTGCCACCCTGCTCGGCACAGCCCCCCAGCAAGCTCCCAGGTCCAAACCAGGGCCAAGAAAGCCACCTGGGGATGCTCTCAGAAACAAAAACCTCCATCCTCTCCAACCAGCAACAGTGAGGGTCCCACCACCACCTAATAAGTACCAAAACTACGCGCTCAGCTCCGTAGCAGCCACCGAAGCACCCCCAGATGCTCTTACCACTGCAGCAGCAGGACCCGAGCCACTTTCGGATGGAGACGTCCAAGCAGCCGCTCCCCTCCCATGGGATCACGGGGACACCACCGCTGGGTGCCATCCTCGTGGCACAGGTGAGAGCCTTTGGCCAACCTCGCAGGGCTCCTGCACCCAGCCCGGCCGTGGCACCACCTGCACATCACAGCACCATTTGGGCAGAGATTTCTGCCACGGACCTCCCAGGGAACCCCCAGGGGTTTTGTCCCACCGAGGTGCCCGGGGAAGCTGGCTCACAGCTGTCCTTTAAGGCTCTCCGCGTACCACACCGGAGGTGTAAACCACTGAAGTCTTTTGTTTGTTTTCTTTTGGACAAGAAAGTGACAAATTAACTTCAAATTTAAAGAAGAAAAAAATAGGTAACAGGTCTAAACAAACCTCTAGTATTCAACACTTGCAGTTTTTTTATGTTTTTCTTTTTTTTTTTTTCGGTTTCTTAAAAAGATCAACTCAGACTAAAATCTAGCACAGTCATGCAACAGCCCACAGCTCTCAGAAATCCAGCGACAGCTCGGGGTTCGTAGGTTTGGGAAACAATTATTACTTCTTTTTAAAATATTTTTGCTGTTGTGGTTGGTTTTTTGTTGTTGTTGTTGTTGGTTTTAATCAGCATCTTCTCCTTTCCCTCCTTATTAAAACAAAACCAAACCAAACAAAATTACAACATAATGAGAGATGTGCAGGCTTCAAACGATTGTACTGCATGGTGAGAAATGCTTGGAAATTTCTTCCAGACCATTTGGTATCCTTTTTTTTTTTTATCCTTTTTTTTTTTTTTTAACTGGCTGTGTAAATTCATTTCATATTTATATCAGTTTGATTCTCCTTCAGTTAACTATACAGCACCCCACTGGGGCACGAGAATTAGATTGTAACCACATATATATATATACACACTTTTATTTTTTTTTTTTGTTTTAATTAAAAACTTCATTATTTCTCCCTCTCCCCCCCCACCCCCTAACTTGCGGTTTATGGGAATGGGCAGAAACCAGGTGGGCCCCTGCCCGGTTTGATTTCTGCGCTCACCCACTTCTGGCCGAGCGCAGTCCCCTCCGCTCGGCCCGGGCAGCAGCAGGAGCTCTCGGGACAGAAAAGGAGATGGTTTTTGCTCGGTTTTTGGAAGGTTTCGGTCGCCTGCTCTGAGTTGGGGCAGCGCTGGGCACCTTTTTGTTTGAGGAAAGCAGAGAAGCGTGTGGATCTGGCGTCCGGAAGGGGCGAGAGCCCGGCTGTCCCCGTGAAACGCCAGCAGGCACGAACCGCGGGTAGGGCGGAGGCGGCGGAGGGGAGACAGGGTGAGAATGGGGGAGAAAGAAGGAAAAAAGAGAGAGAGAAGAAGGTAAACGTGGGGTGGGGAACCCTGCACCAGCCTGGGCTGCCCAGGGCAGGAGAGCAGAGGACAACCCCGGTTTGGTCCCTCCATGGGCTGGTGCCCAGCTCCAGCCACAAGCCGGTCTTGAAGCAAGGCCAGAAGCAGAGGAGCTTCCTCCCCGCCCTGCCTCTTCCTCCTCACCCAGACACAGCCCCCTGGGATCCGGCTCCTTCGGCTGTCCCTGCCCCAGGGTCGCATCCTGCCTGCCCAGGCTGCTGCTCCAGCAGGGGCAAGCCCCGCAGAGCTCCTGCAGATTGCCATGATCCAACCCTGGTGCCTTCCTTGGGGCAGCACAAAAAAACAACATGAACCCCCCGCATAAAATAATAATAATATATATAAAAAAAAAGGAAAAGTTGTTAACCATGCAGTCAAAATTTCAGTCCTGTCCCTGCCTTCTCCCTCCGAGGAACCAACCCTGAAGCCAAGCCGCTGATGCTGTGGGTGGCTCGCAGGAAGGCAATAGGAAAAAGCCAAACACCCAGGGAAAAGCCAAACACCCGGAGAAAAAAACAAACACCCAGGCTGGTTGGTTCTCCAGGTCCCCTCCCGAGTGCCCTGGATCACCCGCAGCCATCCGCCACCCGAAAAGCACCCAGAGCCCCTCGCAGACACCGAGACAGCACAGGTCATCCCTCAGCCATCCCCAGGAACAGAAACACCGACCTCGGCACCTTCCCTCCTCTCTGGTCTCCCTCAGCCAGGTCGTAGCCTCCGGAACCACTCAAGCAGCATTTAAATAAGAGCGTCTACTCAGCTAACGAAACTCCCACTTTTTTTCTTGTTTTCATTTTTTTTTTTTCATTTTTTTTTCATTTTTTTTCTCTTTTTTTTTTTTGCACTAAACAACATTCAAATAAAACATGGCACAGGACGTATTTTAAGAAATATCAAAGCTCAGGATTTCTCCCTTTCCTGCCCACCCCTATTGCCCCCACCCCCAAATCTCCCCAGCATCAGTCCTTTAGCTTATTTTTTAAAACCGTTTTTTTTTTGTTAGTTTGTTGCAAAATTTAGAATCTTTTTTTTTTTCCCCTCCCATTTTTTGTTATATTTTTTTTTCCTTTCTTTAAATTAAAAATTTTGTCTCGTGTAAATTGTGCAAATATAGCAGTTAACACTAGTGGCAGAAGGCCAGAGAGAGAGAGAAAGAGAGAGAGAGAGAAGGGGGGGGGGGAGAGACAGAAAAAGAGACAGGGGGAGGAGGAGAGGGGGCAGACAGCTGGGGGGCGAGGGGGGGAGAGCAAGTCAAGTACAGTACAAACAGGAGCCCACCCCCCTCCCTCCACCGAAGTAACAACAACATCCAAACGCCGTCCTAGAAAGCCCCACGGTCCCGACCCTCCTTCCCCGCGGGCTCAGGGGGGCTCTGCCCGGGGCAGGGGGTCCCCGGGGGTCCCAGCGGGTCCATGGGGCACGCGGCTCCTTCCTCCTCCTCCTCCTCGGCCGCCCCCTTTGCAAGGTCTCTGCCGCGTCCCGGTTGCATCGGGGTGTGCGTAGAGGGAGGGGGTGTTTTATCCTTGTGGCTGCTGTCGTCGGGATGCTTTTTGATTTATTTTTTTGATTTTCCCCTGCTGGCGGGCGAGGTTTCCTTGTTGGGCGGTGGGAAGCGCCCGGTCCCCAGCCCCGAAGTGTCCTGCCCGCGGCTGCCGCTCGCTGGCCCCACTCCTGCCGCCGCCGCCGCCGCTCGGGAAGCTGGCACCGTGCCGCCGCCTCTTCAGCTGCTTAAGGCCATTGTGTCGATCGCCTGCTCCAGCTTGCTCCTCAGCCGCTGCCTCCTGGCCTGCTCGTCCTTCTCTAACGCGGCTAAAATCTGTGGGAGAAGAGGGGAGAGGAGAGGGTGAGGAGAGGCCCTCGCACCCCAAGTGGCTCCGCGCTCCCCGTCTGCGGCGCGGGGAAGGGCGCACAGGGATGGGGAACCACGAGAGGCAGCACGGGTTGGTTCCTGTGCCTAACAGGGCTGGAGGTGACACACCGAGGAAGCTCTGGTTGCCTCCAAAAAACCCCGCTGATGTTTCCCCAGGGCTAGCAGCAGTGTGGGATGGACGCTGCAGTGATGGAGTGGCCGGAGCAAAGCCTGCCTCGCTGGGATGGTCCTGTCTCACTATGGCAGGACCACGAGAGGATGGCTTCACCGACCAAAAGCCCTTCCTCTGAACAACCTCCTGCAGATCACAGGGTGGTGGTGACGGTCCCCTCGCCCCCAGGGACACGGCCATGCCCGCAGGTCCCCGGAGGGCTGGAGGAGAGGGTGGAGAGGAGGGCTCGGAGCGTAACGCTGAGGGCAGCAGCCCCACAGCCGTCACGAGTCTCGTCTCACTAACACCATGCCAGCAGAGCAGAAAAGCCGATGGAAAAAAAAAAAAAAAACACGAAAGCTGACAGAGATCTCATCTCCTCGGGTGAGCCAGTTGAGAGAGCAAGTTTTTTTTTTTTGCAATTAAATATCAAGGCATCCGTCAAAGGGGACTTGATTAACCATTTCATTGGCCGCATAATTGGAAACAAACTGTTGGATAATTAATAGACTTACTAGGAGGCAGGCAAAGTCCATCAGGAGCCCTACAGGTACCTGCTTAATGGGGAATCAGCTCCCTTTGATTGAGCGCCGCTGCAGCGCCCGCGGGCTGGCAGCCCTGCGAGAGCTCCCAGGCTGCCACAAATCCTGCCATCGGGGACACCAACACGGTGACACCCTCCTGCAGAAACCCAAACCCCGCCTGCCTTAAAGGTGGCTGAGCTGGTATCAGATGAGGTTGGTCGAAGAAGCTCAACAGGGGTTTATTCCCATTTTCTGCCTCTCCCAACAAGACAGCTTTGTGCCATGAGATCCTAAGGTGCTGGAGGATTCACCGCCTGCCCCCGCAGCTACCTGCTCCTCTTTTATTCCACCCTGAGGGAATCAGTACAGCAAAAGGAAACACCGAGCAGAGAGACAAGACCCAGGTTTGTCACCTGCTGCAAGGAGCCAGGACCACTGATTACCAAGATGCAAGTACCCAAATGAAAATTAATTATGATTTTCATTCACAGCCAATGACAGCATATTATTGCACTGAACAACAGGAAAAATTATTCTCTCCCATTTTGCATCAAAGAGGGTGCAATCGGGCTGCATATAATTGTGCTTAATGAATGAAAACAAACAAAGGGAACAGCTGCGATTTATTAATCCCATTACAAATAATAAAAGAAGTTCCTGAGAGCTGTGAACACACTTGTGATGCTCGGAGAGCAAGACACTCAACAGATGTCAGGCTGCAGTTAGCGGGCAGAAGGAGGACCTGTGTCCCTAAAGAGCAGCTCCTTAGTGCCACGCGGTCCCCTCCCTGCTTTCACCTAAGATTTGTTTAAGAATTGGGGAATTTTAGCCTAGAGGAAGCAAGCACCTGATGGCTGAGGGATGATGGCTGATCTAGATCCTCCAAACTGCTCTGCATCGCCTCTCATGGTAGCCACGGAGCTGTTGTACAAGCCCTTGGTGGCCAAACCATCACCCAGAGGTACGGGGGCCTCATGGACCTGCCACCCCATGGCCTTTGGGGAGCAGCACAGAGGTCCCACGGCATTGTCACCAGTGCATAGTGACCATCACGTAGCCACACAGGGGTTTTGGCCACCACGGTCCCACCACTGCCCTTAAATCCAGGGCCAGCTGTCAGGGCAGCGGCAGGGCCCTCTCTCCCCGAGCAAGGGGCCGTGCCAGCACTCTGTCACCTAGATAAGCCACCACTCACCCAGTCGTCAGCCTGCTTTATTGGGAGAATAAAGCCTGTGTTATCCCGTTACATGTACGGATCTACATTTTACTGTAGTTACGTATTTTATTGCTTTAATAAAAAGATGCAGGGTGTGGATTTGAGCGGAGCTTGGCAAAGTTAATTTGTATAAATTACGACAGGAGGGTTTGTAACCATCCTTACTACCGCTCACAGAGAAAGCACTGAAGAGGCCACCACATCCTCCAGCGTCCCCGGGGAGCAGAGCTGGCTGATGGCAGCACAGTCCTGGTGCCACCACGGCATCGTGGTGGGCAGGGCAGAGAGAGGAGGCACACCGAGATAATGCTGCCAGCTCTGCAGCTCTGTGGAGCCCACGTGCCAAGTGCACACGCAGCAAAAGAAAAATAGGTGTTTCTTACATTGCTCCCTGCAGAAAACAGGGGAATGAAGCGCTGCCTGTCAGCACAGGCGCTCAGGAAGGGCCACGGATAAAAGCTGACACAGCAGCAGCAAGGCCAGGGCTGTCGACCAGCTCCTGGCTCCATGCCTGGCTCCCGCCTCCGCTCTCACTGCTTTCAGCCCCGTGCAGCACCTCCACCCTTCCCCAGAGCCTGCTCCGAGCCAGGGTGAAGGCCACGCTGAGAAGGGAACAACCCCACGATCCCACTGCACTCACGCAATGCCGCAAGGGTAACCCTAAACCTCTGGGCACAGGCACAGACTGAGTTGCCCTCCCCGTTTTCACAGGGTATTTATCCATAGGGAAAAGGGAGAAAGCAGAAATGAGGGGTGGGAGACACGGCAGCCCAGGTTCGATGCCTCATCTTACCTCGTCCTTGTACTTGGTGATGTAGGAGTAGATCTCGTGCAGCGCACTCATGCTGTTGAACTGGCTGAGGTGTAAACGTGACTGCTCCGCCAGGTACGCGCTCATGTCCTGATCGCTGATCGCTGGCATTTTAGCAATATCTGCATAATATCTGCAAGGGAGAGGCAGGAGAGACGCAAGAGCGGGTCAGAAAGAGGGAGAGGCCGAAAGGGACGAGCTCCCCCCGTGATGTTTGCTGGGAACGGCTTTTGGGGAGGCAGCACGAGGAGCAGCTTTCCTCGGCACGGCACCACACCACCGTGCTCATTACAATGCTGCTGCTCACCGAGAGGTCTCCTGGCGCTTCACGGAGGGGTCAGCATCATTAGCAACACGCCGCTGATGGAGCAGCTCCGAGCCGCAGCGCGCTGCCTGAGCCCAGCCCCGCCGATCACGCTGGGGAGCCAGGATCCACTGCTCCCAGGGGCCTCCCACCCTTTCCCAAACCATGTATTTTTTCTCCTTGCTGTCCCATTGCTCCTCTGTTTTGCCAACGAAAGCCACCTGCCAGAATCCTTCAGGCCTGCGGCAGTACGTAAGGATTTGTTACCGTTCTCCTGAATTCGGTGTGTTGCCAAAGCCAAGGATGACACTCAGCTTTCAGTGAAATATTCAGGGTGTGCACTCAGGATACCCTCACCCCGAGCCCTCACAGCTACACAGCCTCCTGCCCTCTGTGCAGCTCCATTCTCAGGTGGTGGCTACCAGCGAGATACACCCTCATGTTTCCTAGGACACCTGAAGATTCACCAGTCCCATCTCACAGATGTGACATGCTCAACAAATAGATGGAAATCCAGACACGTCCTCGTGTCATCCAGAGTTGTAGCAGGAAACCAGCACATATTGCCTCAGGAAAATCAGAGGGGGTGAAGGCAGCAGCATCCCGTGGCAGCAGGGGGTTACACCAAGCAGCCACCTCAGTGGGCTGGCGAGGGGCCCACCCCATGGCCCCAAGGCTTCTCCGTCCCCTGAGGAAAAGCCACTCCCGGGACAGTTCAGCTGGACATGACAGGCCTGCTTCTCAAGGACACCAGCAGACATTTTATGACCAAGATACAGTCTCTGCGTTCACAGGTGCAAAGTCAAAAGACAGCCTGAGGTCCTTGAGGAAACCATGGGGCCTACAGGCCTCTAACTGAGAAAGAAACCCTACCCACAGCAAGCAAACCCTGCCCGCTGCCACCACCTGGAAGCAGAGATCCCAAGGCCCTCCCATGTTTGCTTTACTCCTCGTGACTCTTCAAACAGCTCAGTAAAGTTTCTGGTACGGTGATTAGCATCGTTAGCACCATCAGCCGAACGCTGAGGTGGAACACGGCTGAAGCATTTGGCTAGGAGCAGATGGCAGCGAGAGCACTTGAGGAGACGAATACGAGGATCTGCTCCATCCCGTGGTGCTTGACTCAGCCAGCGGTGAAATACTGGGGCCGTTTTTATAAGGAGGCTCACCCGCACCCAGGGGGTGAGGAGAGATTTCCTGAACACTGACGGGAAGACAGGAGAAGAGAGGTCTGAGGTGAGGGCCTCTCCAACCAGGCATTGAGAGATACAAGCCACTGCCAGATGTGATGTCCCCCGAAGCTGGCACTGCTCCCTTCCATGCAGAGGAATATTAGGGACAAAAAGGCCAAGTTTTCTGAGTTCCAGTCAGCGTTGGTTAGCACAGAAACCTCACAGAGAACCTCCTGCACACTCGTCGATGGAGGCCCATGAGGGGAGGGACTCCTGGGAGGTGAACGTAGAAAGGAAGAAGAAGAGAGCTTCTGTGGCTGCCATAACGAGATGTCCAGGTAAAACGAAGCAGTTCTGCGTTCCAGGTTTTATAGTGACACAAAGATGACAGGAAACACTATTTTTCAATACATTGCACAGGTGGGGGTCCCAGGCAGGACTACCATTTCACCTGCCGTAGCCAGGACCCTGGCAGCAGTCCCCTCATGCTTCCCAGGGCTCCCCTAAACCCTTCAATGTGTTATTTCTGCCCCAGACTGGCAGGACACCCTTTTTTCAGGACACCTGACCCCAGGTGGCAGACAGACATGCTACGGGCACTATCAGTCCCACTCCACCACCCCCCATCACTCCACTCCTGCCTCCGCAGAGCTTCGCAACGATAACCGTGCCAAAACCCAGAAACACCCATTTTTGCAGGGAAAAAAAAAAAAAACTTGTAAGTAGACAAGCAGTGGGAAAAGCATCGCGCCCTGCTCGGCTGCCGCTGGGACCGCACCCCATGCTCCGAGGTGGCGCGGCCGAGCACCCTCCTGCTCCGCAGTAAGAGGCGGCAGGAGCATCTGTCAGCAGTTACATCTCCCGTCTTCTCCCCAGGGACCAAGCACGTCTACACCACTGCTTCTCCCCGGAACGGTTTTATACCTTTTCTCTCCAGGCGCACGCAGTGTTGAGTATTTTTGTCACAGAGATGGCAAGGTCGGAGAAATTCACCCTGTGCTTAAAGGCAGTGAAGTTTGCAATGCTCCTGAGGGACCCCACTCCAAAGCCCCCTGTAGCTCCCTGTGAAGAACTTTTTCCTATTACAATGCGGCTCATCTCTCATCTTAGCCATCGTATTTCAGGGACATCTTTTCTTCTGATCCAAGCCATACCTTCCTCGAGGGAAGAATCTTGTCTCTGTACCTGCCTGCAAAGCACCAGGCATGCCAACGGTGCGGCAAAAATAACTGCGTACAAGCAAACATCCAAAGGATGATTTAGGCTACCAAGTCCCACACTTGCAAAAGACAGAATACGATGCTTATTGTTGCCTGGACACCTTTCATTTGGCTCATCCCATGTCTAATTAAGACACCAAAACAGGGAAGGGTCCTCAGCAAAATACAGAACATAATCTTTAAAACAGCTTATCAGCACAAGGGAAAAGTTGCATCAGAAACGTGAAATCTGGCATTTTTTAAGCTTTATAAAGTCCCGGTTTGCAACCCAGCAACATTTTTACAGTAGGTCTATTTGGAGGGCTCTGTAGGACATTTCCCAGGTTTCTCTCCCAAAGGATAAAAGTGAACACAGCATTATGCCCAAGAGCATCAATTTGCAATCAGCAGCGCTCAAACCCTGAACCTTTAACACTGCATTAATTCAGCGGGACAGAAGGATGTCTCTCATCAGCTAACAGTGAATGAAGGGTGTCAGAAGAAGTCAGGGGACCTGCTCCTTGCCCTGCTCCTCAGCACCACGACAGCAGCCCAAGCACTGCCTCGGAGCATGTTGATCTCATCAGGATCCCAGGCGAGATGTACAGATGGATGAGAGATGGGAAATGGTAATTTCCAACCATTTCAGCAGAATCTCCTGCATGTATTGGCACGGTACAAAAAAGGCACTTCTCTCCTCCATGACTTACTTCTTATCGTTCTTCAAAAGCAATCAAGGGAGATGTTAGCAATTCCCTAGCACAGACCAAGTTTTTACAACAGACAACATCCGAAAACCCAAAAGTGGAGGTTGCTTTTAGCACCCCTTAAGCAAGGCATAAACAGCTCTGCGGAACAGTCATTGCAAACTCATTCCCAGGGACAATCACAAGAAAGCACCATCTCTCCAACAAGGATTACCTTCCACCAGCATTAGCAGAGGCCCTCTTCAGAGGGCTGCCAAGAGGAGTCTCCTCAACAACCAAGCCCTCTGTGTGAAGCCCCCACAGCCACAAATATTCACGTTAAATCCTCCAGGTGAAGCAAGGAGCTCCTGCCAAGCCTACTCACCTTTCTACCCAGCTCTTGTAGTTGGGGATGTCCTTGGCGTACAGTAGTTTGTTGGAGGGAGAGTCTTTTCCTAATTTGTGCTCAGAAGTTGAGCAGGAGTCCATGAATGTCTGAGCCACCACGGATAGGCAGGCATCAGTAATACTGTTCTTGTGAATGTCGAACACAAACTGGGGGTTCTTAATCACATTCACCCAAAAACGTAGAGGTAGACTGAGGGAAGAAAGAAACAGGAGTCAGCACCCGAACCAAGCCCTACAGGGCAGCCAGCACACACCTGAATTTGTAGAGAAGGAGCTCCCCACGACCCAGGATTTGCTTTTCCCAAGCCCCAGGGATGCAAACAACCCGGGACAGATATCCATTTGCCTCTGTCCCAGCACAATACCACGTCCTCTGCCCAGCCCAGCATGGCCTCAGCTCTCCATGGAGAAATTCCTCAGCATTGTCAACATCTCCAAAGGCAAACCAGGGCACCAAGGAGCTGCAGTTTCTCCAAGGATCCACTCACACAGAGCAACCATGGCTGAGCCTGTGGGTCACCACGCATGGTTCCCTCCTTTCACATCGATAACCCTGCCTGAGGCACCTTGGGGCAATCCATCCATCTCTCCTGCTGAAGGAGGGACTAATGGACTCCCCGAGGGGCTCATTAGCAGGCTGAACACAAGAGGACAATCTAGGCAGCCTCAGATGCTGGAAACACACCTCTAGTTGTAGAGGCAGTGGGTTTCCCAGCCGTGGGCTGGATGTTTGCTGCATACTTACACACGAGCCACTCTCCGTTGCTCCATTTCCCACTCTCCTGCCCCTCTCCTCTCTCAGGAACATTTCGGGGTCTCCCCCTATCAGAATGCCTCTCGGGTCTGTCATCCCTCAGCAGTGACACCCACCGAATGCTTTTATCTTAGACAAAACACACTTCATTCCCCAGGACTTTCCTAATGAGGGTACTGGGTGCATGTACATATTTCATTTGTGAAGGGAATGGCCTCAAGAAATTAGCTCCACACATCGAATTAGCGCCCAGAGATAAGCACAGGCATTAGTATGCAGGAGCCTGCGTGCCCAGCCCCTGCGGAGCGGGGCTTTTTTTTTTTCCTCCTTTGCCTTTTGCTCCTTCTTTTAATATAGAAAGCAGAGTTATAAATCAGTTCCAAGCACTTCCGCACTCTCACATCTCCATTTAAAAATGTTTCTTTTCCTGCCCCGCTAATTGCCAACAGTTACTGAACTATACAAAAGCAATTTGGCTGCCATTTAACAAATGCCAGACACGGGAACGTACGTACCCGTCTCCAGTAACGGCAAGATCAGAGAGATGAAATCAGTGAGGCAGCAGAAAAGAAGAACGCCGAGGCGGGGGTTGCAGAGAAGGAGCCGACAACGTGTGCTCGAGCCCCGGCCCCAGCACAGCACTTACTGAGGTCTCATCATCAGCTCCTCCCTGCTTTTCAGGGAGCAATTAGCAGAGCTGATGGGTTGGGTCTGCAGGCCAGGTTATGGAGGATACTACACGGCTTTACGCTGACTCTGTTAGGGCACGCTCGGCTGCGTGACTGGGAGGGACACGGCACACACCTCCAGGACAGCCAAGATGAGAATCCGGGCTGGCATCTCTGGAGGAGCCCCGAGGACAGAGAAGCCCGAGCAAGGTTTGCTGAAGGTGAGGTGGGAGCAGGACTGCACTCAGCCAGCTCCAGCCGTCAGGGGGAGCGTGCTGCCTTGGATCTGGGGATGTGAGGGTTGAGGGAGCATTGCATTCCTGGGATTTTTTCTGCTGCAGAAGGCATGCAAGGGATTTACCCACACCCAAATCACAGAGATATGGGCCTCTCTCATGTCCTGGATCACTTCCAGAGACAACCAGAGGCATATTTCTGCTCCCTGTGGGAAGGGTAGGAGGTATGAGGTGCTTTGACACCGTTAGCCCCTGCCCCACTGCCCCTCTCTCCATTACCAGTTACTCTTCCAGGTGTGCCTGACATCATAGTCATTGATCTGGTGCTTATCAGCTTGTTCATCCAGGAAATCAAACATGTATTTGATGGCGAGAGGCAGCGCGCTCCCACGATGTGCTGTGCTGAAGATGGTCTCAAACAGGTCATCCACGAACTTCTGCAGGGTGCCCTGAACAGAAGGAGAGAAGGACTATTGAGCACCACCAGAGAGACGAGCCTTTAAAGTAACTTCACTCCTATTCCTGCCACCTGGAAGAGAAGCCCAGCACAGTCTGTGTAACCATACTGGTTCTCAGTGGGTTTGACAGAAAAACAAGCACCCTATCAATGAGATTTCTCCTTCACTGCATTAACTGGCATAGAAATAAAAATACCATACAGAGCAAAAGACAAAGGGTTGTACATTGTGTCATGGTCTTTATTTGGGTTACATTAAGGCACCCAAGACCAGACCACAAACGTCACTGAACAAACCCTTAAGTCCCACCATGCAGGGAGCCAAATCACAGGAGATGGCTGACCCCAATCTCTGCTGCTCTGAGCTAAGATCTTCAGCACGGGCTCCTGGTCCTCTCTGAGGACATCTTAGACAAACAGCACACGCTCTGCTTTAGAGAAGGTTTTGGGTGTGCTGAGGGAAGGAGAACCTCCTGTGATGCCCAATGCCCCAGGTGATTACCCTTCTGACATCACTGATTTTGCAGCTTTACCCCAAACACCAGACAAATGGGATGAAATGCCTGCTCCAGAGCACCTCTGCTTTACAGTCCAGCAGCTGCTCGGTGATACAGGAAACAGTAAAAGTGCCAAAGGGTGTAAAAAGGAAATACAAAAATCCACTCAAGGGACTCTCATTTAGGGTTGTGGCACACAAAACATCACCTCCAGGTCAGGACCCAAAATCAGGAGAGTAGTTCCTCCTGCACTGAAGGAGCAGTCTAATAAAAACCCGTGCTTATCCCAAATCCTTACCCCTCCCCATCCAGGTTTCAAAGCCAGGTGGCAGCTCAGTGTCTCCGTGCCATACCTTGGTGGCTAGCAGGCGGGTCAGATAGATCTCGGAGACCATCTTGCTGCCCCGGTCGCCCTCCCGCTGGTCCATGTGGTCGTGGTTTTTCACCAGGTGCCAGAGTTTGGTGCCGCTCTCCAGGTCGGGGGTGATCATGGGGGTCCGTGAGCGCAGGCTGTCGGGGCTGCTGGCTGTGCGCAGCATGCTCTCTGCGGGCACCCAACACAGAGGGAAACTCGACCTGACCTCCACCTCACCACCAGCCCCTCCATCCCTGTCCTCTGGTCTGATTTCAATGTGTGTTCCCTGTTAAATAGGAGCTTGGGATTCAGCCTCTCCCATCGGCTGCACTGGGCATCACCGAGGACTCTCCTCGCAGCCTGCCCAGCTAAACGAGCCCCTGGCTGATGCACAGACCAGCACCATCTGATACTGCTTGAAAGGGGCTCTGCAGAGGTCTGGCTCTCATCTCACAGATGCCAGGATCACAGCCTGGCCTCCTGTGTCAGTCTGAGCTGACCACACAACTCCCTCCCAACCCAAGGCCAAGGCACGCTTGCCAGCACGTTCGCTGGGGCCCTTGGCTAAGCCTATTTAAGTGCTTAGTGCCTCTGTGCCTATTTTAATGAGATTTCAGGGGAATAAAAGGGAGTGGATCCCTTAGCTGCAGCCATCTGACACCTGTCTTTCCCTCCTGAGTCCAAAGAGATGACTCTGTGGGGCTCTGCTCCCCCTGAGACACCAGAATAGCAGTGCAGGAGAAACAGGGACTTAGAGGACCTTGTTCCAGCAAGCCGAAATTACGGGCACCTGTCCTGTGCCTCGCTCTGCAAACCCAGCCTGGAGCTGCCTTCCCTGCCAGCGCAGCCCAGAGCAAGCTTTGGGTCCCGCTGCACACTCACCGTATCTGCTGAGGGACTTGGTGAAAGTGGAGGAGTTGGAGATGTTGTACGCCGAGTTCTGCTTGGGCACCAGGGCTACCGAGGAGCCATCCGTCACCTGCAGGCAGAGGTGGCACGGGCAGGCTGTGACACGGGGGCATGCACACGAGGAACGGGCTCACGGCAGGGAGAAGCCAGCCCAGGAGGGATGAAGTACACTGCACCGCATCCCAGGGACACCCATCTCCAGCAAAGGAGACCTAAACATCTACCTCTGCAACACCCTGGGGCACAGGGCACAATGGGAATGCAGCAGAAACTTTGACATGAAAATGGCAAAGCCAGGTCAGAGCAAGGAACAGCCTCTGAGTCCTGAGGATGCCCCATTTGGTCCAGGAAGGACCACAAACACAGGGACTGTGCAAGAAGTGACTGCAGACCTCCTGGCCACGTCCCTTCCTGAGCAGCTGGACCACCGAAATCAGGCCCTGACCAAGATATGGGGGAGAAGAGATGCTGAAGCTCTCAGCAGCTGGGGACTGCACGGTGCCTTACCTGGTAGTGAGCCAGGGTGTTGAGCCTCTTCCAGTCATTGTCGATCTTTGTGGTGACATCCTCGTCCTGCAGTATGATCCGGGCCATCCTGCCCTGCCGCCACTCTGTCCCAGTGAGGGAGAAGGGCTCATGGTTAGCGGGCAGCTTGGAGGACAAAGCCAAGGAGAGCAGAGGAGCAAGGTCTGGGCATAAACGAAAGAGCCCTGCCATCACCTTTAAACCTAAGGACCGACGACTGTCAACATGGTGTTGGGCAAAAGCTGTTTCTAAGTGTTCAACAAAAGACAGCACCAGTCTGGTAACCCTTCTTTGGCTCTTCTCCTCTTCATCCTCCTGCTACTCCTTTAAGAACGGGACTATTAGCCCTGTTCTCAACTATTTCTGCCCTCCCTGGCCCTCAGCTAGCTCATGCCTGCAACCCAGACCACAGCCAGGACAGAGAGGGCTCCTCTCCTCTCTGCTTGCAAGGCTCCCTTTCTCATCCCCATGCACAGCCAGTGCCACCAGCACAGCAGTCTGAGCCAAAACTGGACTGGACAAACACAAATGCAAGCATCCTGACAGGTCCCCTGTCCTGATTTGCATTCACCTGCCTCAAACATTTAGTTTTTTGGCACTTCTGCTCTTGGCTATTCCAAGAGGAGTGCTTGGCCTCTCTCTTACCCAGGTCCATGTCTCCAGCTTTGGGACGCTGGGAATAGGGCACCCCTTTGTAGACAGCATCCAGCAGCTTCTCCTTCACCTGCGTGATGGTGTCACAGTTGAGCACCTTGACAGGAATCTCCTGGGGCATTCTCGTTCTCAGGGTTCACACAGTTGAGGGTCTGCACAGCACAGAGAGGCAAAAAGATTCAAGTGAGTTGATGTGACACTGGCTGCAAGGGCTGATCCAAGGACACAGGGCTACAGATACCTATGGTCACATCTTCTCAACCCTGGGCTGCTCTGGAGGTGCAGCCTCATGGCATATTCCTGCTTCCCTCTTCTCCCCCTTCCACCCCCAAATCTCCAGCTATTTCCAGCAGGCAGCATGCAGGAATCCTGGGCCAGCAAACAATGCCCAGCTCACAAAAACCTATAGAGCTTGAGCAATGCCCACGCACACACTCCACTCCCTGCTCCACTCAGGTGGAGATGAAGGCAGTAAGGAAGCAGCTACAGGCTCAGCCTGGGAAAGGTCCAGCTTTACCATGCAGCTAGACAGGGGAGACAGCTCGTATGGGAGGAAGAGAATCATTTCTCCATCTCCCATGGAAATCTCAAGGCTTTGATTCGCACCCAACCTGAGCCACTGGCTGGCTGCTCCAGCCAACACGTGCTCTGCAGCACCTCCATCCCCGTGTGTCAGGGCCATGGGGTTTGCTGGTGCTGAGGGGGATTCAGTTCACGTTTGGCTTCCCCAAAGCAAACCTCGCCATGCACCCTGGTGAGATGTGTATCACACAGACAGGGTGCCCATGGATGCTGACGAGCGGAACAAGAGAAAAAACGCTCCATGAGAAGCACTTTGGGTGTCTCCAAGACCTCGTTAAATAGCTGGACCTGGGGGTCCTGGCAAGAACCAGTACCAGTGGGGTTCCTGCCTGTACTAACCAGCATCTTGTAGTCAATCTGTTGGCGGATGAGCTTGTCTTCACTGAGGGAGTAGCGAGCCTCTCCTGTGATGGCATCGATGGGTCCCTTCTCCATCTGCTGCTTGATGGCACAGTAGAGCATGAAGAGAGGTTCCCCAGCACACTCCTGTGGGACAGGGACAGAGAGGAAGAAAAGAGGGGTTGAGAAGGTGTCGGGCACCAGCTTGTCGTGCTCTGTCCCTGCAGCATTAAGCCCCATCTGTGTCTTTATAAGCAGTTTCCAGTCCTTGCCCTCGTGTGCCCCCAGTATGTCCCCTGGAGCAATTCATTCTCCCTGAAAACCTGCTGGAGGTTGTTCCCATTATTTATCAACCCCTAGCCTCAGTTTCCCAGAGTTTCCAGACAGTCGTGGATAAATTCTGCTCATTCTGTAGGAAAGGATGAGCTAAAAAGGTTAAATGCAGGACTAGCGAAAAGCAGAGCTGCTCTGGGCACAACACACCACAGATATATCTCGGTAGAGCCGTCTGTGCATGGGATACGAGCTAGCATCTGAGCATCTGGGCCAGCCAAGGAAAGCACGTGAGGAGTGGAAAGCGACTGCTGCAGAAGGACAGCCTGGGGGCTCTCCCCTGGTAGCAGCCCTGGCATCTGCCAGGAGGACAGGCTCACGTGAGAGAAGGTCGAGAGGTTTCTCCGTGAGACGGCTGAGCACAGCCAGCCGGGTCCGAAGGGAAGGGAAAAGCAAGAGACCAACTCGGTGACAGTCCTGCCCTGACCCCCCAAACCGATGGCGTTTCCTGCAGTGAAGCCATTTGCCACCCGCACTGTCCCCACTGCCAAAGCCCCACTGCCAGAGCCAGCAGCCACAGCAGCCAAATCCCCCAAGTAGGAGGAAGGGAGAAGAAAACTGGATCAAGGACTTCTCCCGAAGATGCTGGATGTTAAACCTGTGGCAACCCAGGACGTGCCAAGGTTGGAGGCACCAACCAGCCTGGAGCCACGAGCTGGTGAAGGGCGGTTGGAAGAGGACACCCCTTTACCACCCAAGGCATCCCAACGTGCCCTTCCAGATGCAGACGTCAGCCCTAAAGGGGAAAACGGGGTAGGATGGGAGCGGAGGGGACCGAGAAAAATCCCAACAGATTTTACCCCCCCAGCCCTTGCCCCTCCCTCCCGGCCGCCTCGCAAATAAATTGTACTTTGGTGCAAAGTGCGGCTGCTCTCCCTGTCACCATATGCTGTTAGCATCTCGTTAGCATCTGCGGTAATTAAAGAGACAGCTGCTAACGAGCAGGAACAGGCATACATCATCCCCAGACCTTCCGACAACACGCCTGTCTTTGAAATTATGTTTCATTTGCAAACTTGGCTTCATTAAGTCAGCGCGGAAAAGTGAGAGACCCGAGGTGGGTGCTACTGCTGCGTGCTAATGGCTGCCTCGGGAGGCGAGCGCGCCAGCCTGGCCGAAAAATTGGGAGCCTCACGGTGCTCCCACGGCACCCCGAGCTGAGCCCTCCGGCAGGAGGAAGCCCAGAAGTGCTTCTGCCCACTGCTTATAGAAATTTCTTGTAAAACCTCCAGGCTGACGTGGATGGAGAGGTGTTCGTGGCCACGGCGTGTGTGCCTGCTCCGTCCTCAGCCCTGGATTTCCCCTCTGCAGGAGGGAAGCCCCCAGCCCGCTGTCTGAAGGGACCCATGGCTGTCCCTAAAAACCATCCTGCACATCGCAGCATGCGGCCTGACAGCTCCCCTTTGGAACCAAGTGCCACCAGGGAAGGATAAAGCCACAGAGGACGGCTCAGTGTGAGTGCCCTGGCAGGGACAGATGTCAGGGCAGGAGGCAAGGTCTGGATCACGGCTGTTGCTCCAGCCCTGCTGCAGCTGGCACCCAGCTGTGGTCCTGGCATCATGGCATCGCCTCCTCTGCTGTTCAGACACCAGCCTGGCTGGCGGGGAATTGACCTCTTTTTGGATTCATGGGCTAGAGCTGGCCCTACGGCCACCCCAGGGGGATGGAGCAGTTCTGGGGATGGGTACCTCGCTTCTCCACGGGAGGTGAGGATCATCCAGGGCTTGTCCCTGACAGAAACCACCAAAATGAACGTGGCCTACAGAGCCAGGCACTGGGCAGGTGCCCCGGGATGATGTCCATGGGGTGAGAGGCACAAGGGGATAGCTCCATGGGGACAGGCCACCCCGCAGGCTGCTCGAGGACGGGGCTGTGTCCGTGCTCTGCCAGCCCCAGCACAGCTCGGTCATGGCCAGGGGAACAGAGAAGGACAGGCTGAGGGATGAGGGATGCTCTCCCTGCAAGCTGAGCAAACAGCCCGCAAACGGCACATCCACACACGTGTCGGTACGTGGGGTGCAGGCTGAGGCAAGCCAGCTAAGGCTCAGACTCTTTTATGGACTAGATTTAGCTCATCAGGCACCTAATATCGCGCATTTTTCAGTGCTTGTCTCAATTTATCCCTCTCCCTTTCCCCGGGGTGCCTCATTAAGACTCTGATAAATGCTACCGCAGGGCCCCGGGAAAGCACCAGCCCTGGCTGACTCCAAACTCTGCCATCTCACCCCTGGCCCCGGGCAGGAGGAGGCTGTCCTGTGCCTGTCCCCATCCCCGTCCCCTGTCCCACAGCACGGCCGTGCGCCCAGCCCCGCTCCAGGCAGCTTTGCTGAGAGCAGCCCTGGCAGCTGGGCACACATCCGCCTGCCTCATTTACATGCACAATTACCGCGGTTTGGTGCAAGGCATATGTTTTCCTGCTGGCAAACTGTCTGCTGTGATACCTCTCCATCTACTCGGCGGGTTTCTCCTGCTTCCCGTGCCACCTGTGATCCTCGCTGCCGGGAGACAGGCAGGAAAGGCCCCGCGGGTCTCCCTCGGTGGGGCTGATACAGGAGGGGCCACGGATGCATCCTCAGCCCTATTCCCCTCTAGTGTGAGTGACCCAAGCGTTTAAGTTTCCAGCGCTTCCCCAGCACGACAAATCTCACAGCCAGTGTGCTTATCCAAGCCCTGTGCATAAATCTGGCCTGTTACCGTGCACCTAGATCAGATTGCTCTCTCCTGCTGCGATATCTTCTGCCATCACCATGTCTTGCCCAAGGGCTTTAGAAAAAGGCATTGCCCTGACCCCATCCCCACATCCCTCTCTTCCTGCTACTCCGTATCCTCAGGCTTACGCCAGCACCAGCAAAGCGCACAGTGGCCTCTCTGAAGAAGGACTGGGCTGTGCTGGGACAGACACAGGACAGTGGTGGCAAACAAATTGGTCCAAAGGATCTTCTGAAGGAGGTGGCCGTGCCCCTGTGAGCTGCCCAGTGCAGCCAGGGACAGGACCAAACACACACATCAAACCAGAATGTCCCCAAATGCCACCTTGGGTGTTGGAAGGATGCGTGCTCTGCTTTGCTGGGCTGAAGAATAATCATGCCTACTTGAACTATTCTGATCCTTCAATTAGGATCTGACCTTCAAGGGGAGATCTGACCCCTTTTGTGCCCTTTTGTGCCCTGGGAGGGGGCTGCAAGGTCCAACCTGCCCACCCCTTCCTACCTGGTCCCACCTGGCACTGCCACAGCAAAGGACGGGGGGGCACAACCCAGCAAAGCTGCAGCACGAAGAGGCCGTGGGAAGTTTGACATCTCCCTGCAAACAGCGCAGCTTTTCTCCTCTCCCACCCCTGGAAAGCAATCTCCACTGCATGCTACAGCTAGATTTTTATAGATACAGGCTATCCCTCCACGGAGGCGAAAAGCCAAGCGCATGTAAGTGATATTATAAATCACCTCTCGTTGACGATCACTTGAGTTCTGCACAGACTCCTGCTCGCTCTCATCTCTTGGCTGGAAATGGTTCAAACCCTCTTTATCTTAATGAGGGATGAAATCCCACAAAAAACGGCTGTGTGCCACCCAGCCTGGCTGAGCTGACGCCAGGCAGGATCCCAGGAAACAGCCCCGCTGATCGACACGCCGGCAGTGGGACCGCAGCAGCCCCGGCAGGATGTCCCCCTGGAGGTACGGCCATATAACCCGCACAGCTCTTGGTGCAGCCCTAGCAGGTGAAAGCAGCAATCCTGGCAGGGGAAATGTCTTTGATTTGTTCATACAAACACGGTGGGGAGAGCTGCTGTCCCCCGGTGGGACCCACGGGGTGTCAAGTCCCCAAAAGGGGCACCTTTCGGAGGGGAAGCAAGAGCAAAAGCGGAGCTGCTGGGAGAAAGCGTCCCCCTAGCAAGGAGCCTCTGTTTCAAAAGGCAGAGGAGGGAAAAGCAGCAGTGTTACGTGAGGAGTGCAGCACATCAAGCTGCAGCTCAGACGTGCAGAAATATCCCCTGAGCACAGCCGTGGCTGTAGGACCAGCTCCTGGGGCTTCGTCCTCCTGAGCCGCACAGGGAGAGGCAAGGAGGCAGGAATGGGAACCGCTCATAAGGGATTCGAGGCTCAGTTGGGTTCTTACAGATTTATCCTTTCTCCAGGCACTGTTTTTATGAAGATCTCAAAGCCAGGATGCATTAAGCAATCCCTGTCTGCATTTCATTTCTCAATCTCAGCTATTTCCCCAAAAGGGAACCCAGAACCAGCAATCACAGCTCAGAAATTCAGGACAGGAAACCTGGGCCCGGGAAGCGATTGGTGCCCCAGGAGGGGGTCACAAACCAAGGAGCCCCGGCTCTGGGTGACAAGGCAGGATCCCACCTCCCATCCTGTTCAGGGTCAGCGATCCCTCCCAAACTCACCTTCAGGAACTTGTACAGCAGAAACGTGAACCAATTTGTCAGCATCTTCTCTGCCACCGACTCCGTTCTGTAGGGAAGGCAGAGAGCAAAACCATCAGGAGAGGATATTAAAGGTCTCCGACCCTACCCGCTGCCACCTCACCCTCAGACTGTGGCTGAATTATTTTTGGCTTTCAAAGGTCACATCTAGAAAGGCAGGAGACTCAAAGCAAAGGGGCACAAGCAGACAGCCAAAGCTCCAGTGAAACGCCTCCCATCTGGCGGGCTGAGCCATAGCAGCCCTCCAAGAGGGAGAAGCAAACGAGTCTCCAGCGTATCTGCAGAGCTGGAGAGAGCCACGGATGATCTTGTCCCACGAGGAGTCTCGCCCAGGGGACGACCAGCCTCCTACTTCTCCCTTGTACCTGCTGCTTAAATGAAGTTTGTTTCTGCTGCCATGTCCCACTGGAACCAGGCAGCTCCCTCCAGGGACAGAGGGCTGTATGAGGCACACGGGTAAAGCCTCACCAAACCTCACGTTCCATGAGAGGAACACCTCCTGCAGCACTGCCAAGGGTCAGATCCAGCTGGAAGCCCCTCTGCCCCCCAGGAGCTGCTGCTGTGACCTGTACTGCAGTGCACTCAGCGCTGCTGCTGTTCTGAAACCAGCCCAGTGCTACTGGCCCCCCAGCAGCACCCCGAGCAGTCCTTCAGCTCTGGGGCCCCCAGCACAAAAAGGACACGGACCCATTGCAGCGAGTCCAGCAGAAGCCATGAGCTCCACGGAGAGCTTATAGGAACCCCCCAGCACCTAAAGGGGGCTGGTGAGGGCCTTTTTACAAGGGCAGACATAGCAGGACAAGGGGTAGTGGTTTTAAACTGCGAGAGGATAGGTTTAGATTAGATATAAGAGGAAATTCTTCACTACAGGGTGGTGAGGCACTGGCACAGGCTGCCCAGAGAAGCTGTGGATGCCCCAGCCCTGGAGGTTTCAAGGCCAGGCTGGATGGGGAGTTGAGCAACCTGGGCTGGTGGGAGGTGTCCCTGCCCATGGCAGGGGGTTGGAACTGGGTGATCTCGAAGGTCCCTTCCAACCTGAACCATTCTGTGAAACGCCAGGTCCCTGTGTGTCCCCTCAGAGCGGGGTGGTGATGCAGAAGGAGCTTGCAGTGTTGCAACCAGCAGCTCCAAAACGAGCTTAAAAATGGAGCATGCTTCCCAGCTGGTGGAAGCAGCAGCTAGAGCTGCCTTCAGAAAACCTCAGAAACCCTTGTCTCCTAAGCACAGTTCAAGTCCAGACTCCATCTTGCTGCAAAGTGCCGTGGCAAGGACGGTTTAGGAGAGTGCCTGTGCCTGTTGTGGAACATCCCCACCCCGCTCACAGCTCAACGTGCCTGCCTCGGCACCACAGGCTGCCAGGAGATTAAAATTCACCTTAACGTGCCCATTATTTTTAAAGTCACTTTCGCTCCCTCTGAGGTAAAAAGGCAAGGCAGCCTCCTGAAGCTCTCCGGCTACGCTCCTCAGCCCATCCACCCATTAATCATCACATCAGCCACTCGTAAAGGCAGATGCTCCTGAAAGCACAAGCAATACTAATAGCCTCGCAAACGAAGCCGCCTTCCTGTTACCCCAAGGGATCAGACGCAAGCAGGTTAACTCGAAAAAACCCAAATCAGGAGGAGCCTGAACCCTGGAGCCCCCCAGGATGAGCCCCGCTGCCCAGGGGCAGTGCCACGCAGGGGAGCTGGGGCAGGAACCCATGGCCAGATGGCTGGGGTAGGAAATCCACTTTCCTGGAGTTTATTCAAGCTGACTCGGGGTCGTATGGTCCCCTCCAAGCCTTTCTCTTGTGCTAATGGGGTTTAGCCCTTTCTGGCCTCCCTGGAATAGCACAGCCCTCCTTAAGGCATTAGGGGATGGTAAGACCTCAGGCTCCAGGAGGAACGCCTGCCTGAGCCCTATCAGGGAAGATTAATCCAGCAAGGGGAGCAAAAAAGAGACAAGGAAAGTGATGTGGGGAGAAAGCCAAGGAAAGGGCTGGGCTGATGCTACCAGCAGACATCCTCCCCAGCCCTCAGAGCGGGTCCCTCACCAAGCAGCCCCAAACACTCGTCTGCAGTGCCCCAGACCGGGCTCCAGCCGATGGCTGCCTTCATCTGCGACAGAGCCAGATGCCACAGCAACGGGGGGATTATCCAATAACCAAATAACGAAGTAACAGCTCTCCCGGGTTAGATCGATGTTAATCCAGTTGCCCTGGGCAGTAAGAACATCCTCTCACCCAACAGCAGGGCTAATCAAAAAAACAGAGGAGGCACAGCCCCATACCCAAATGCTGCTTGTCCCGTGTCACGGCTGCAGGAAGAACAAAATCTTTTTACATTTTCCTTTGGGAGGCACAAGCAGGGTACCAGCAATGGGACCTCATCCCTGTCCTAAGCCTCCTTCAGCTCCTTGCAGTGGGGTCCCCAGACCCCATCGCTGGGGGATGCCAGTCCTTGGGCTGACAGTACCAACAGGGGCTGAGCTCTGTCCCCAGACTGCTCCCATGACGCAGGTACTGCAGCTGCTGGCCTCCCTGTGCTGCCTTTTAGTTATATTTTATTGATTTACTTCCTTCCGGAGCTTTGCTCCGATGGCAGCAGCTTCGAGATGCCCTGAGTGAACCACAAGCTGGAAATGCAGTTTAAATATTTCAGTGAAGCCTGATGCTGGGGAGGGACAGCAAGGAGAGAGCCCAAGGACGCGCTCAGGGACGGGGGACACGCGGGGTGGCACCTTCGTGACCCACCTCTCCCAACCAGCCACACGTCTGCACCACTCCCTCTCTGGCATATTTTTTATGAGGTCTTTGGAGAAATTACAGGCTCCCTGTATTTCACTTGGAGGCGAGAAGTGAAGTAAAGAGACCAGCCACGGGAAGGTAGGTGGGATGCAGCTGGGACCAGCTTGCCTCTGCTCCAGGCACCTCCCCATGGCCAGGCACACGCAGCCCAACGAGCTGCCCAGCCTGGCCACACCATGAACATTGGCTGATGTCTGGAAGATGCTCTGGTTTCCTCCAGCCCTTCTGGTGACACGCCAACCCCACAGCTGTCCCTGCTGGAGGGAGAAGGTCTGCAGGTTCTGCTCCATCTCTGCTGCGGGCTCACGCGGAGATGGGGAGGCGCGGCACAGCGTGCAGAGGGAGGGTTGGCACGGAGGGCCTCGAGGTGGGCTGGTGGAGCTTATTAATTGTTTTTGTTCCACACTTGGTGTATCTTTCAATATTCATCAGCCCGTGATGAAGGAGAGCTCAGAGCTATCATTAAATATTGATGGGCCAGGCAGACTCACAGCAGGGCTTGGCACGCTGCCTCCTGCTCGCGCTCTCCCCTGGCCCCGGGCAAGACTCTTGGCTTGAGAAGATCCACTTGGCTTTCCCCCGAAAACCCCCAGGAGCCTGGCGAGGTGGGCAAGCCCCAGAGAGGCAGCAGGCAAGGGAGGACTCCTGCCAGCTGCCAGCACACAGGGGCACCAAGAGGAGTGCCAACAGCAAGGCACAGCCAATGCCATCACTGGTGGCACCCCTAAGTGACACCACCCCGTGTCCCCACGCACACAGAAGTTGCCTGGGCACCACCACCCAGCTCTTAGATGGAAACTCACCTCCGCAAGAGCAGCTTGGGGTGGTTCTTACTCTCCAGGTTCTTCTCGATGAGGTCGGAGAGGAGCTGCTTCAGCACGCCCGTGGCGTACTCCATCTCCCCCTGCAGCGCCGTCATGATGAGGGAGGCCACGTTGCCGCGGTCCCGCATGGAGAAGCTCCGCTGGGCCTCCAGGGTGCGGATGAAGGTCAGCAAGAAGTGCTTCTTGTTCAGCAGCTGCCCGAAGAGGGTCAAGGACTTCTCCACGTTCGCCTGGACCTGCAAGGGTAGAGCAAAGCTGGGAGATGGGCACAAGAAGGAGGGCGATGGGAAGGCAGGTGGGCTGCGCATCAAGGGAGCACCATCTTGGGGCATCAGTACACAAACACAAAGACTCTCCCCACGCACATACATGCACTTCACTCACATAAACTCGCCTCGACCCCCAAAACACCCATCAGAATTTCAATTTCATCCAACGAGAAGGTCAGGTCCCACCCAAACCTCTGCAGCACGTGCCGTGGGTATCGCACAGACAGAGTTCCTGCCCCTTCTAACACCCACAAAGCACAGAAAGCCTCGGCACTGAGCTCTGCAGACAGCAAACTCGCCTGGTTTTAGGTGGATGGGTTTCAGACATACAAGCAAATAGTGGAAACCTGCGTCTGCCCCTCTCCAGACACAGCCTGAAATATTCCCTTTGCTCTGAAAGTGTTTGAAGCTGCATCTCGGGCCGTTCCTGGCTCTGCAGTGCCCAGCAGGGACTGGGCTGGGCTGCTTTCATCTCCACACTGCCTTCGTTAGCGCTGCTCTGGTCAGCACCGACCATATTTCTCATCAGAAATGAGCATTTTTACACACAACATCTTCCCATTAGAAAAGATGGTTTCCTCTGAATAAAAGCCTTGCTGCGGTAAAACGTCAATTTTAATGATTTTTTTTTCCCCTTGTCTTCCTGATTGGGAGAATAAGTGAAAAATTTCATTTCATGTCGATATTTGGAGACAAAACAACGCTCTTCATTTCAAAACATCAACTCAAAATGAAGAAGAGGGTTTTGACACATCAAATCATTTCACTTCAATCACAACTTTGGATCACTGCTCTTTGGTTCAGCGAAGCTTCTCGTGGCTGCTTCTTCCCCCTCCAAACTGCTGACGTTCCCACAGGGAAAAAAATAAAATAAAATAAATCCCATTTCCTTGCCTTTTTGTCACACAACCCTCAGGTGACACATGTCCCTCAGCACCCAGGTGAGGGGGTGCCTGTCCCTGGGCATCCCAGAATGGGGACAGGGGAGTGACCCCAAGCCTTGGGGTTCTTCCTATGAGCAAGCACATGGTTGGGCTTATTTTATCACGTCTCAGAGGCTTTATATCCCGCTAGGAACACGTGCTTTAATTTACCTTCTCCCCAAGCCTCTCCTCCCTCCAGACTACACAGGGACCTCGGTGCAACAACACCGCTAACCCAGGCGGGTGCCTGAGGTTCAGCAGCACCAGTGGCTCCCTGCAGACACACACAAAGGCTTCCTCGGCACAGGAAGACCCCACTGGTGTCTCTCAGGGCAGTGACCCTAAAAGCCAGCTCAGAGCCAGCGGGGCGAGGGATTGTCTCCCTCCAGCAGCCAGCTGAGGGCTGCACGAGGAGCGTCGGTGCCCTGAGCAGCGACCGCTCCAGCAGGAGACAGCCAGATCCGATCAGGGCTGCATCTCCGTGAGAGGAGCAGCTGGGGCTCAACAAGCTGGGAAATGGGCCCCGTCCAACAGCAGCCATCGGACGGGGACTTTGGGAAGAGCACAAGGGGACGAGCGAAGCCCAGCATCGCACGCAGCCCGCGCCCAGCGCTGCACACGCGCGCGCCGCCCCGCTGCCTGGCTGGGCTGCCGTGTTTAACTTGCTGATCATTAGCAGAAATAAATGAACAATACCGAATTAAATATTTAATCAGGCTTAAATTCACACAAAGCAACAAACCTCCCCCCAACAAACCTAAAGAGAAAGGGAACTGGTAATGACAGTGTAATACTTGGCTGTGGATTAGCGGGTGCGTGAGCAAGCGCCGTCTCCCTCCCAGCACTCGCAACAGCTAATGTTACACTCGGAGTAAAGAGACAAATAAAAGCAAACCTGATTAAATTATATGAAGCTTGCACAACTGTAGTTGCTTTATTTAATCTTTTTTTTTTTTTTGGCTCCTATGCAACTTTAACCCCTTGTTTCCCCGGCAATGCTGAGCCTGGATGCTCTCCGGTGGGATGTTTTGAATTAGGAGCTGGGAGTGGAGCAACTCCTGCCCAGCCCCCCCGCAGCTGATGTACAATTACTCCCCTGCGATTTCCTTTCCAGAGCTCCGGTTTGATACCATTTCCACCCCTCTCCCCTCTGGAAGGGATTGCAACATCTGACAGACGCTGCCAGGAGAGGTTTCTGCTCCCCCTCCCTCCGAGGCGCCCCCTCCACGCGCCTGCTGCGGGGGCTCTGCACAGCCCGGCACCACCGCCCCCACATCGCCCCAGCCCTTTAGGGAAAAACCTTCAGAGCAGAGCAGAGCAGAGCTGAGCACCAGGCTTCCACATGGACAGGAAGGGCCGTGCCCGAGGGAGGGCTGCTTTCACACCCGCTGCGCTGCTCCCCGCGGGCGCAATGGCTCCGAGCAGCTGGGAAACCTGAGCTGCAGGGGGAAATCCACGGAAGCAGGGTCCCCGCCGCCTCCGGAGCTGGGATTAGGGAGCAGGCACGGGGCCAGCTCCCCAGGCCGTGGCCATGCTGGCTGACAACACCAGCACGTGCACTCGCAGGTGCTAAGAGCGCGTTGCATCGTAACCATGCATCCTGCACCAGGGCTGGCTGCTTTTCCTAAATACCTCGCAAAGCCCACGTCAGCATTAATTACCTCGCCAGGGAAGGGAAAGCTAAGGTTTAACTCCCCTCGTTTCTCCAAGCAGGAGCAGCCTCAGCAGCCCTGCAAAGGAGAACCAGGTGCTGTGCCCCAAATTCACCAGGCGTGGGGAGAGGAGAGGGAGCTGGGTTAGGGCACAGGGGCAGGACACCCAGGTAGGGCCCTGCATGGGGAAACGGAGCCGGGGCAGCAAGTGATGTAGGACAAGTCTGCTGGCAAAGAGTGGCCAGCCAGGCATCAAACCAATCCAACTGAATAAAGCAAGTGCCATAGAAAATGACAGCAGCAATGATATTAAAATAAATATTGATATTAATGTCAGGGAGCGCAGCAACCGCTCAGCGGCCGGGCTGTGCTCACGGTGGCTGCCACGTGGTGAGATGCTCTTTGCCGTGTGGGGCTGGGGCAGTGGCCAAGCCCATCAGGTAGCCCTCCAGCTCCACCGTGACCACACCAGCAGGAGCCTCAGGCTTTATCACGGGGCTCCAGCACCAGTGGATGAGCTGCAGGGACCAGGTCAGTGGGAAGCACGAGTTGGTACAGGGCTTGCACAGCCCCAAACACAAGGGGACGTGGGTCTCCACCACCCACAGGTGGTGGTTTTGCATGTTTACTCCCAATACTTGATCCACAAAGTTTCCCCTGCCCATCCTAAGGAGCAACCACCACCCTTGCAAGCACAGAAGCAGCAGCAATTGCCTCCCTTTGGTATTCCGATCCCACATCTCCAAAAAGCTTTGCTCTCCCTGCTCTTTGCTGCTTGTCCACTCCATTGCATCGGGATGGGCTCAATCCCTGTTTCTGACAAAGGTTAGCTATGGAACCAGGATATTGGATATTATGGGCACGTCCCCCAGCACGAACCACCGCAGAGACAGACAGACAGACGCACGGCACCCCACCTCCATCTCCTTCAGCACGGGGTGGTCTTCAATCCCGGGGAAGAGAACCCGCATGGCGTACGTGCGGTAATCCAGGAAGGGGATGCCGGCCCCGTCCAGGTCGTTTGTCAGCTCGTTGATGTCAGTCTGCAGCTCGGCAAAAGCTGGAGGGGAAAAAGGAGAATTGAGCAAGGCGGCCCCGAGCCCCAGCACACGGCTTTGCCACCCAGACTCTGCTACACCCTCAACACCCGACAGCTCGAGTCAGATTCGCATCCCCCTCCTTGGGCAAGGCTATTAAATCTGCCCCCATTTACAGATGGAGAAAGAGAAACCGAGCTGGAGACAGAGGGGATGCTCTCCCCAGAATAAATCAAGTGGTAGAGCTGAGATCAGGACCACCGGGCCCCCCAGGGGGCTCCAATCCCCCTTGCTCAGCACTCGCTCGCTCCCAGGGATCCTGCGGGCAGCCCGGGCTTGAGGAAAGCCAGAGCTTCTGGGGGAAACGTTAGCCGAAACCACAAGAATGTCCTCATTTTGTTTTGACCTAAATACTACTGGAGAGAAGAGCTGAACACACCCACCCCAGCACCTCCCGAGCCAAGCAGAGCCAGCTCCGATTCCCAGGGGAAAGCAGCGGGGGGGGGGGTCCTGAACCTTTAATTGCACCTACAGGGAAAAGCTGACAGAGAGGAGGCCGGGAGATGCACCGGGGGAAGGTGGAGGGGGGAGCTGGGGGTGGGGGGGAGAAAACCCTCAGAAAAATCAAATTAATGGCACTTTAAAGGGAGCTGAAAGCACAGCACAGGACTGCAGGCTCGTCAGCCTGATGAGAAAAAACAAACCGTCAGCTTGAAAGGCGTGCTATCTTATCTGTAACTAGTGGGACTAGAAAAGAGAAAAGGCAGGGAAGAGATTGTGCCTTTTAATTAAAAGCAGATCCTTTTATCTGCCAGCTGTGGAAGACAAGACACCAGCCCCTCCACCAGCTCCCTCCCCTCTCCCTGTCACCACCGCCATCCGCACGCCTGTTTGGGGACGGGGATTTGGGGAAGCAAAGGGTTTTTTTCTTTCTTTCTTCCCCTTTTTTTTTTTATCATCTTGTTTTAGGTGCCTGCTCCATCGGCAGCCTCCGGGCTGGTTGGAGCTGCGGTTGGCAAGGTCGGGGCCTGGGGAGCCAGCTCAGGGGGATAATGGGCAATTAGGTTTTATCAGCAGGATCATACAGGGAATTCTGTCCAATTTCTCAGCATCCGTCTGTCACGTAATGAGAGACCAATTGCCTGCTCACGGGCAGCCCCCGCTACCTTCCCTGCTCCCCTTTTCTCGTGTTTGGAGGGGAACGTGAGAAATGAGGGAAAAGGGGAACTCCTGAACTGGAAAAATCCCCAAATTGCACCCAAGAACTGGGACCGCTCACCCTCTTTGCACTCGAGGGCCACCCGGGACTCCAGGTTGTCCATCTGCAGCTGGAGGCGCTTCAGGGTGCGGTCGGCGTCCCGGGACTTGCGCTTGTAGGCGATGAGGACGATGATGATGATGAGGAGCAGCAGGCCACCCCCGCCGCCGATGCCGATGATGGCGGGCAGGGTGAGCAGGCTGTCCGAGTAGATCTGCAGCGTCCCCGGGGAGAACTCGAACCCCCCGGCCTTAATCTGTGCCACGGGGAAAAAGATAAAGGGCCCCGAGTCAAGGGTGCACGTGCCCTCCTGCTGTGCCTGCTGCCTTGGGAGCCACGAGGAGCCTGGGGGTGTGGGGAAATGAGGAAAATCCCCCTAAACCCTACAGGGCACAGGGCACACAGGCAGCTCGGAGCAGCACGGCGCGCTGTGATGGGATGCAGGACGCACACTGCCTCGCTGTCGCAGCGCACACGGAGCAGGCAGGGAGTTTGATGTCTCATTCAGCCAGCGTTAGGAGAACAGATGGGATGTGAAGCGAGTTCCCTGACGGATGGGGAGCCTGGGGGGACGGCACCGGGTCCCTTTCAAGCAGGCAGAGGCCGCGCGGAGCTGGAGCGCCAGCACTGCTGTGCGACAACCTGACACGCACCGAGTCCCCTTACAGCACGGGTAGGGACTGGGGAAGGGGTGGGAACCCCCCCTGCACGGCACCGGCTGTGCCTTGGCACCCAGCAGGGAAGGGGGGATGTTGGCAGGGCCAGCAGGGGCGCAGGATTCCTGGCTGAGCATGGCAGGGAGAGGACAAAGTATTTGGTCCTATCAAACACACAGAGCCATGCCTGGGGAGCAGGATCAAGGTTCCCAAGGGCTGCATCCAGGCACACTGAGCATCCTGCCTCACCTGAGGACGAGCACCCAGCGTGGGCAGTGCTGGGATACAGACACGTGGGGACACCCAGCCAGGGCCAGGAGAAAAAAGGCAGCAGTGCCCCAAACGCCTGCGGTTTTCCAGCCACGGCCGCATCCCCAGAGCAAAACCCTTTGTTTTCTCCTCCCCACCTCCTGCCCAGTTCCCGGGACGGGTCCTGCTTACCGTGACTTTGTGCTGGCCTGTGAGGTTGGGCGACTCGCAGAGGAGCTGGGTCTCGGACACGGTCAGGGTGCAGGGAGTGTCCCCGATCAGCACCGTGTAGTTCAAGCGGGAGTTCCCGGCACCCGGAGGGAGCAGGTTCCTGCCCTTTGAGGGAACGAAGGAGGACACAGTCAGCTCTCATGCAATGGGGAATGCTCCAAAGCCTCGTTACAGAGCCAATTTGTGTCCTTTTAGCAAAAGATTTTGCCCCAGGAGAGACGAGAGCCCCCTAGGTGGGGGAACACGCCCCAGGTGCCCGCTGCCTTACCTTGAGGATGAGGGGAGAGCTGGGCTTCAGCTCCAGCATCCCCGTGGGGCTGAGCGGTTCGAAGACAGGGTCTGGGTAGTAGACGAAGTTGGTGGTGTTGACGATCAGCAGGGCCTGGACGTTATCCATGATGAAGCCGATCTCATCCGGGCGGTCGCCCACCTCTGGAGGGCTCCGCTCGGGGTTGTCGATGGAGGGCGCGTAGCACACCATGGTGGTGTCGTTGTACACCGTGCAGTTCTGCGGGAGGCACAGACCCGGATCAGACATGATCCTGGCAGTGAGGTCAGGATCTGACCCCACAGAAACCTGCAAGCACTGGCTCTGCCTTCCCTCTGGCAAGAGGAGTGATTTTTGGGTTCTCCTTCCCTGTGCCGTAATGTCGACAGGGCCACGTGCCACCCCAGCAGCTGCATCTCAGGGGCAGGGAGGGGCATTTGCAACCAATGTGTGATGGGTGGTGGGTGGGAAGCTAGCTGGGGATGGGCTCTTTGTCCTGCAGACATCCCACAAACCTCCCACCATTCCTGCATGTTAATATCCCACCCTGGCAGTGCCCCTGTGGCCCTGAAGAGATATCGCTGTGCCTCTTGTGGGTGCAGCCCCTGGCCACCACCCCTTCCATGGCATCACACGTGAGAGGAGGGGATGTGCTTCGTGCCACGTGCTGCAGAGATGGCATCCCTCATCCTTGTGCCCTGCCCTCCCCGTCAGCCAGCACCACTCACATTCTCCCTTTCAGAGCTGCAGTACTTGGCCCGGATCTTGGGCTCCTTGATGGTAGCCAGGTTGGTGCCAGTCACAGTCAGCAGCGTCCCACCACTAGAGACAGAGACAGCGGGTTAGGAGAAGCAGCCGTGACCCTGGGGTCCCTGCTTCTGGGAGAGAAACACCCCCCCTCAGCAGCCAAATGTCCATCTGCTGCAGCCTGCCTGCACTGCGCTACCTCCAGGGACCTGTTATCCCCCTCCAGGGATCTGTTATCCCACCCAGATGCCACCGTGGCCAGCAGGATCTGGCATTTACCAGCACCAAATCAACTCAGCTGACCCAGGAGACAAGCAGAGATAGAAAACCTGCTCAATACCACTAATATCCCCCCCTGTGTCTTTACGTCGCAGTTTGAATGCAGCTTCCAGTAAAGAAACCCAGGCATCTATGATTGGGAAGTGTCACTAGCAAGAGGTCCTCTCCGCCACCCCCTTCCTCCATGGTGCCAGGGAGAGGGTGCCAGGGCAGGCTGATCCCTGCGGGGTTTTCTCCGCCACTGGGAATTAAAAGCCCCGCAAGTCCCGCAGAGCTCGGCCATGCCCCTGGGGAGCTTGTGCCTCATCAGCACCCTGGGGAAGCTTTCCCTCCGCGCAAGCACTTAATGGATTCCTTTGCCTCCTCTCCAGCCAATTCAAACCTTTTAGAAAAATATGTAAACATATCAAAAAGCCCCCGATGGGAAATACTTTAATTTTATTCGCTGCCGCCAAATGTCAAGCTGAAATTAAGCAGATCCGAAGCGCTCTCCGCTCTTGCCCCCCTGCCAGGCTGAGCGCTGCGGGCCAGAAGCTCGCAGGCACCCGGTGCCAAGGCATTCCTCGCACTCCTCTCGCCACATCTCTGGAGCACGGCCAGGTGGATATTGTGGCAGCACCGAGAAACACCCGACAGGAGTAAGGATCCGTGCAGAGCGGAGCCCTGCCCGCATCCCACCGCCTGCCTGCAGGCTCCCCGCGGGCACCTCTCACCTGTTGATGCTCCACTCGGGATCAATTTTTTGGATAGTGGGGTCCTCGGTGTAGTTGTACTTCACCTCCGGGTTGCTCAGCTCTGCCCGGTTGATGTTGATGAGGATGGGGGACCCGCCGGGGCTTTGCCCGGGGGGCGTCCTGCAGCGGATCTCGCGGGCGCTTCTCCTGGGGCAGAAACGTGGCAAGAGTCGGGCACTGGGAAGGGGGGAGGCGACGGCACCCAGGGGTACCCAGGCCCCACCTCGTGCCCCCACCCCAGCCCCCTCTCCCTCGTGAAAGTGTCGGGAGGGTAAAGGAAGGAGGAGAGAAAAAGAAACTCAAGAAATGAAACAAAAGGCAGCCGGGAAAGGCTGAGCAGCTCCTGAGTGTTCCCATTGCGCGGCTGCTGCAAACAGCAGCGATTAGGGCTGATAACCAGTAATTACCGCAGGAAAATATTTAAAGAGCCGCTCCATTATCATCCCTAATCTAAAAATTATCCACTTCATGCCTCAGGGCTTTGTGCTTTTAGAGAAAAATCCCTGTTCTTTGGGCTCTTCCTGGAGCCTCTGACACAAAGAGGTTTCGGAAGGAGAGGCTCCTCCAGGTGCCCGCGGGATGTGGCTGCTCTGTTTGGGGGTCCCATCGCCTCCGGAGCTCCCACCTCCTGTCCCCCTCCACCCTGCGTGCCCCCTCACCATGAAAAGGCACAGGGCCGTCCCCCGATGGTGACGGTGACGTTGCTGCCAGCGTTCAGGTGGTTTCCTTCGATGGCGATCCAGGTGCCGCCGGAGAGAGGGCCCCGGGCGGGGATCACTCGGGAGAAGGTGGGCGTCTGCCGAGGGAAAGGAACAGCCCCAGGGGCTCAAGGACCGGGTCCAAAACCCCACTCTCAAAGCAACCCCGAGCAGGGGACAGGGACACAGCTTGCCACAAAGGAGAGGGACCCATGGGACAGCAATAGGGCACGGTGTCACGGGAGGACGGTGCCAGCAGGACTGCAGGGACAGCCGTGGAGAAACACAACCAGCACGGCCCAACTCCTGCCCAGAGCACCCCCAGGGGAACCGGGGCCAGTTTTCTGCCCAGAGGCAGCCCCCACACACCCAGCATCGCCTCCATCCCACAGCAGCCACCCACACGGTGCCAGCCCTGTCTCCAGCACGGGGGGACACCGCCAGCCCTTACCACGAAGGTGAAGCTCTTGGGCGAGGTGGCGCGGTAGCTGGGGGAGCAGTCCTGGATGCACACCTCCACCCGCGCGTCGTGGACCTTGCTCGGGCTGGCATCTCCAATTTCACACACGATCCTAAAAGACACGGGGAAGAAACCTCCAGTGCCCTGACACTGAAATACTCCCTATGTGCTGTAGGAGAAGACCAGCCCCAAAACCAGGACCACTCTGGCACCACGCAGAGGTCCCAGATGCCAACAGGGTCACTAAAAAAACACAGCGGTGGCTATCGGTTACTGCCAGCCCCCAGGAGAGCTTCCCCAGCATCTTCAGGCTCCTCGCCACGGCCCAGAGCAACCATGCCCAGCAGGTCCTTGTCCCTCTGGCAGTGCCACGTTTTCTGTGGGCACGGGCAGCGTTTGAGCCCCAAGACCCCCGTCCCCATGCACCGAGGTGACGCGGAGCGCGCCCAGCCCTCGTTGGGCACTTACTGCTCGGCGCTGATGTACTCGCTCTCGATGGGGATGCACATCACTTTGCCCACTCGGACTCCCCAGCGCACGTCTTCAAACTTGAGGCCCAGATTCTCTCCGGTGATGGTCAGGCGGGTCCCTCCTTGCCTGGGGCCCGTCTCAGGTGACAGCTAGGGGACAGCACAGCACGTCAGCCGAGGGACCGGAGCTGGCAGGTGCCACCTGCTACAGCCACAGGGCACCAGGATGTGCAGCGAGGAGCAGATGAGCGGTGCTAAACACCACAGCATCCGCAGGAGAGACTTCCCAAATGACAGCTGTGTTCAGACAGCCACCAAGGAACAAGGCAGGAGGTGCCAGATGCAGTGGGCTAGGACCTGGACACCCTGCTGCAGATGGAGCCACCCCACAGGTGACAAGGACAGGGATGGGAAGGAGATGGGATAGCACCAACGCGTCTCCAACCAAGCCAAACAGCGCAGACACGTGGCTTTGCCTTCGGGCAGGTCTCTTACACAAGGGGATGAAGGTCCCAAGATGTCCCCAAAGGAGAAACCATCCCCACCACGTCCCTGCTGGAGCGGCAGAGCCAGCAGTGGCTCTGCAGGAAGCCCTCTCCTCCCTCACCACACAGCAGGCGGGGGGCAGAAAGGGGAACCCAGGTCCTGCTCACCCCCGTCGGGCTTCTCTCTGCCAGCAAACCCCGTGCCAAGGCTGGCTGGCTGCTGGAGAGCCTCCGCCCCATGCCATGCCTCATTTACCAGGATGATTCCCAATAAAGCGGACAGGTGTGGCCTGACAACAGGCAGCGGGATGACGGATGAACGGAGAGGCACGAGCCCACCGCTGCCTCCAACAAGGCAATTATGGGCGATTTTACACCAGCGCTCGCTGGCCCCAGGGCCCGGCGCACACCTGCAGCGCTAAACAGAATTAATGGCAGGGCTGCGTGTGCCCGGGCTGGGACAGGAGATGGGGCTGGTGGCACGGAGATGGAGAGGGAGCAGGGGAAAAGCAGCTGCAAGCAAGGAGACAAGGAAGAGAGGAATGCAGGCTGGGTTGGTCCAGGAGGAAAGTGCATTTTGATCGAGGAGAAGGGACCCTTTGGAGAGAGGTGATGCCTTCTCTGGTAGAGCTGGAAGACAGCATGAGCAGAGGTCTCCTTGAGCACGGGGAAATCTCTCCGCTTGCGCTCAGGCCGGCACCTGGCCAGCCTCACCCTACAGCTGCGCTCATGCGACAAGTGAGCAGGCACCAGCTCACTGCATTCCTGGCAGCTCCGGGCAGCTGCAAGCCCAAGGCCAGTGCCAGCTGGATGCTCCTGTACTCCTCGCACACAGCCCACGGTGAGGGAAGGTGGATGAGCGGAGGGAGGGATGCATGCGGCAGCGGCCACCACCCGCATCCCCTGCCCCGATGGGCAGCACGGAGCCAGGGGTCACTTCTGCAGGGCTCAGCTGCAGAGATCACTTCTGGGGTTAACCACCAACGCCTCCAGGCTTGCACCAGGCTCCTCACCTTCAGCACAGCCCAAAGCTGCTCTGCACTAAGCCCAGCGCGGGGACGAGTCCCAGGGCAGTGGCGGAACTGGCAGCAGCACCCTGGGGTGCGCAGCAAACCCGAGGCACCCACATCTCCCATTTTACACAGAGGCGAAACCCTCCTGGGCTTTGGGGTGCTGCGGTTTGCCTAAAGCCAGCAGAGTCCCCATGAAAGCCCAGGCTCAGGGCTCGGCACAGCAGCTGCAGCCAGCGATCAGATTTGCTCTTCCTCCTCCGCCGGGGCAGCTGGCGAGGAGCGGCTGTTTGTTTGGTATTCCTAAACGAGTGTTAAAAGCTGCTCCGGCGTGTTAGATTCCTCTTTCTCCGCAGCAAACCTGACAAGGGCCACGCGTTTGGGGAGAAACGAGCCCGGGAAAGGGATGACCCCTTGGCTGCGCAGCACAGGAAGGTCACAGCTAAACAAGCCGCCTGGGAGCGGGGCGCTGGCAAGGAGGGCAGAGCCTGCCCTGAGTCCCCATCTCCAGCTCCGAGCCCCCAGCCCCACAAACAGCACCGCTCTGCCGCTAATTGGTTTCACAGGGTCCTTTTAAATCAACAGGTAAATGGCTCCAGCGGGCACGAGTTGCTCACTCCCAGCTTGAGCGGCTGCAGCACGGACAGGGGGAGCCGGGGACACGGATGGCCTTGGGAAGGGACATCACCCTGCGGGTCACAGCCAGCACCAGGCAGGTTTGCAGGGCTGCTCGTCCTCCCACCGAGTGATGAGCAAGACCATGGATGAAGAATCGCGGTCGTCTCCCAGCCCAGCTCCACCAGCTGTGAGCACAGCTGCTCCCCTGCTCGCTGGGCTGGAGGCAGGCTCCAGGTCCTTCCGAAACCTCTGCAGGACTCCCATTTCCTCACACCCCGTGCTGGCCCGGCTGCTGCCTGCCCACAACCAGGCTGTGGAAAGCAGCAGCAGCAGGAGGAGGCTGCTGGAGGAGCACCACGCCAACAGCCGCACGCATCTGCACCAGCCACCGACTCGCATCGGCCCCGGGACACAGCCTGGAGCAGCACCAAGGTCAAGCCCACCTGCTAACAGCCCCGTTTATGCCCCATCTGCAATTAGTGCAAACCCGGGTAACGATGCAGGGCTGGAGAGCCCGCTGCTGAGGCCAGCAGCCAGCTGCTGCTTGGAAGCTGCAGGGTGCGTGAGGATGCTCGCAGCTCACAGCCCCGGCCACCTTCTGGGGTGCCCCGGGACACCCCGGGGCTGGAGCTGCCACAGGAAGCCCCATCAGCAGGATGGCAGCAGCAGCAAAAAGCAGCCCCCGAGGTGATTTCCAGAAGCCCCGTTAACCCCAGCCAGGACCAGGCTGCCCTGGGCTCGATGCAGGCGCTGGGATTCAGCCCCGTTCCCAAAAGGAAGGGACCCGCGGGCAGCCCCTTCTCGTTTCCAGCTTCCATCAGATAAGACACAGAAACCCAAACAGATCAGATACGGTGCTAAGCCTGCAGTAATTAACACCGGCAGTGCCTGCCTGCCCCGCGAGCCGTGGGTAAGCAGAAAGCAGCACATGGAATTACGCACCGAGCCCTCCTAAAGCGCCTGGAGCCCGGCCCTACAGACATGTGAACATTAACGTTTGCAATCTGACTGAACAAGGGCCGTAAAAACTGCCAGAGAAGGGGGATGATGAACTGCCAGCCCCAGCAACAAGGGGAGGAGCAGCCCAGATCCACAATTTTCCCCGGATCCTCCATCCACACGCAGAAGGAACAAGGGGAACCTCGGGGATGGCCCCAAAGCCAACCCCCAAGCAGATCTGGCTGCTCCGACGTGCCAGCAGAGAGCTCCGTCCCCACTCCCATCCCGTCCCCGCGTACCTTGGTGATCTTGGGGTCGGTGCAGCGGCTGTTGCCGCTGCTGGCGTGCATCCAGCTGCTCTCGGGGGCCAGGCAGTGCTGCCGCAGCGAGCAGCGCTTCTCCGACACGCACCAGCCGCACTCGAAGCGTGGGTCGGCCTTGAGGCACAGCCCGCAGCTCTCCCGCAGGGCCGAGCACTTGTACAGGTGGGCTGCAACGGCAGGAAGGGCACCGAGGTCAGCACGGCCCCCCCAGCCCCAAAATGGGGGCACGGGGAGAAGGGCACCCGCTGGGGGACGTGGCTGGGAGCATCGGTGCCTCGGTGGTGCATGGAGCCAGGTGGGATGGGGGCCGGGGGCGCATGGGGCTGTTTTCCCACCCCGGTCCCGTCCCTCACTCACCTTGGATGTTCTGCGGGTTGTCGATGACAAAGTTCCCGTTCCAGACCACGGACAAGTTGACCGGCAGGTCACTGATGTCGTTCCCTTCGTAGAAATACTGCAGGAGGGGACAGAGGGAGGCAGAGGCCGTTACCGGAGAGGTGACACACGCCGGGAGGTGCGGGGCATCACCACCAGGATGCTGCCCCTCGACCACGAGGAGAGGGATGGAGAAGGGAGAGAGAGGTCTAACAGAACAGACAAAGCATCGGACACAGCACAGGCAAACCAGCAGGCTGGGCTGCCAAAAAAAAAAACAAACGAGCGAAACAGAGGATTTCTAGACAGACCAAAATCCCGTTAACCCAAGGGTCCGAATCCGCTGCTGGGAGAAGCGGAAAGAACCGGCGTGCCTGGAGCACACGTGCACCTCTCCGTGCCAGAAACACGAGTGCTGCGAGGGGGCTGTGCCCTTCCCTACATCCTCAGGACCAGCACTGCCACCCCGATTCCCCGCACAGGGACGTGATGGAGCAGGATCCGACCTCCCAGATCCCCAGGGCCTGGCGCACAATGCCCAAACTCAGGCTCCAGCACCCAGCCGGGATGTCCCCACCTCCGCTGCTCCGTCAAGCCCGGGTGAGCGCGAGCACGCCAGCAGATAACAGCTCCCAGCCCGGCGCCTCCTCCCACCCAAAGCCTCTCTCCCCCTCTTCGCCAGCCGAGCCGCAGCCCCGGCAGCCCCATCAATATTCCCCGCACAGCCCCAGCGCACAGGCGGAGAGCTTTAATCGATACGGAGACAGGAAGGCAGTCGGAACCGTCCCTGACAGCTAATGACCTCCTTCGGCAAGAGATTCCCCGCTCCTCTCTGGAGAAAATGACAGGCGTGTCAGGAGAGATTAAATGAATGATTCATGGGTTGCTGGAGTTTGTTAGGGAGCCGCGGACACGCGGGCAGCAGCTCGCCCAGGCGGGGACCCGGCTGCGGGCTGGACACGGCCGTGCCACCTCCAGCAAGCCCGGGGCTACCCCTGGCCTCCCCTGCCCACCCCAGCCTCCGAAATCCCATTTCCCGGCCTCCCCTCTGACCCCAACCAGAAGCCACCTCTGGTCCCACGCTGCGCACCCACAGTTTTTGGCCAATGGTCCTACACCCAGGGGTCATTCCACCGAAGGGGAGGCTGGAAGCCCCCAAAACACGCCCCTCCTGGGGAACAAGGCTGCCAAGGGCACCCATACACAGTGCTTTTAGGGCACAAAACATCCAGCTGCAAACTCAGCTGCTCCACCACCGCCTGCCCTCCCCAGGGACAGCTCCATCAGGCTGCTCCCGGACACGGCGCTGCTGCAGAAACATCTCCGCCTTCCAGCACCTCTCGGCCACGTCCCCATCGCCAGAACTGGGTTGGGAACACAAATTCACCCTCCTCTATCCCATTCCCATGCTCTTAACCATGCAGAGGCTGAGGGTGTCCCGGCAGGGCGGCGAGAGGTGGCCGTCCCCTGTCCCCTGGCACCGCGGGCGCGCACGTGCTGGGGAGGGCGGCGGCGGCGCCGGAGCAGGGTTTTGCTGTGACGAGCCACGTGGCAGCGTAAGTGAAATTGGCATTTTCAATTTGTACTCTGACATGTCTCATTTGGGGCCCTGGCATCTCGGGAAGGCATCCAGCCTGCAGCTGTCCAAAACACTTATTTGCATCTCTCTGCCCCGGCTGCTTTTGGAAATTAGTTCTTCTGGGAGGTGGGATGGAGGGTGGAGGAAGAAGAATAGGAGGAGAGGGAGGGAGAGCATTAACTCTTCGTGCACCAGTCCCGAGACAGCAACAGGTTTGCCCAGGAGGTTTGCACGGGAGCTGCTGCCCATCTGGGCACAGCCGGGGCTCCCCTGTGCCGAGATCACTGAGTTTGGGGTGGCACTGGGTCGCTGCAAGTGGCAGGAGGGAGCAGGAGTCGCTGCCCCAGCTGGCAGCCACGGCAGGGGACAGCTGAGGGAACACAGCTGATGATGAAAACCGTGTCCTCGGTGTTCCTGTCACCGCCAGCAGCGTTTCACCTGCCCTACAGAGACGGGCAGCGGGCCCACGGCTCGGATGCCGCCACCCACCCCTATCAGATGCTGGAGCCAGGGTGCGGGCAGGAGCTGCAGCCACAGGGGCTCGGGTTTCCACCTCCTAGGAAGGCAAGGTCTGCCAGGTGTGTCTCTGATTTCCAAAGCACCTCTTATTTTGAAGGACACGTTCACAAGGTTCGCTCCCCAGACTGCTTTCCCGGCTCTCCTCCAGCTGGCCTGGCACTCACCCCAGCTCCCCGTGACTCCTTGCGCAGGGACCCAACCGGCTTTGGGGCTGCTCCAGAGGCACCCCTGAACACCAGGATGGGCACGCAGAGAAAGCAGGGCACAAACGGCCTCCCCAGTCCAGGGGACAGGGTGGGGAGCAAGGGAAGGCGGCGGCAGGGAAAGCAGCCAGGGCTGGGGCCACGTGCTAGCGGCACGGCCAAAACCGCCCTCCTGCTCTCGCTCTCCTGTGCCTCTGCGTACCCTGCCGCACGTTAACCCTCTTTACGCACTGCAATGTTTGCTTTTGGGCTTGGCAAGAGGTTACCCAACAGCTCCAGCACTCTCCTGGCTACCCAGGAAACCTCTGCTGTACCAAGCTCAGCCCGGGACACGTGCTGCAGATCCCCTGGGGACACCTCCAAGGCCCTCCCGTCCCTCGGGATCCAAACCAGCGCCCGGGGACAGCCAGCAGGTCCTGTCACAGCGGCTCCTCCCCGCTTCCAGCTAACACAGGGCTGAACATCCATTAAGCACTTAGCTGTTATTAACTCCCCGGTTAATCAATCGCCGCGGCTGCCGGCGGTCTGGGATGGGCTGTGGGAGGGGAGGCTGGGATGAGCTGTGTCAGACGTACCTGCGCTGTGCCACCACGTTCTGCGGCACCAACGTCCCCAGGAGCGCGGTGCGTGCCCAGGATGGGTTGTGGGCGAGGGCAGCTTGCTCTGGGAGCCAAAATACAGCAGGCACAGCCCGGAGAGTAAAGGGATGGTGCAGAGAGAGAAATGCGGGCTCATGTGCCATGGCACTGCCCGCAGAAGGGGACAGGAGAACATGTCACCAAGCCGGTGGCACAGACCTGGCTCCTCACCTAGCCCGGGGCAGCATTTCGGTGCCTTTGGAGGAACCAAGAGATGTAGAAGGGCTGACGGGGCCGCGCCAGCCCGAATGCAGCTGTTCCCAGCACGGTCTCCTTCCGCAGGGAGGTGACTCAGGCAAGGGGACTCCTCGCCAAGCCCTTCTCAAGGCTCTTCACCCAGAACTTAGCTCAGGCATCTTCCTCAGCAAGCTCTGCAACCTCCTGAGCTCTGCTTGCCATGCTCACCCCATCCCCACCACACACCCCAGGCAAGGGATACCCATGGGCACGGCACACTGCTGCCACCTCCCCAAAACGCTCAAGTGTTTGGTCCTGGTAAGAGCCCTGCTGGCGGAGATGAGCAGCGGGAGCTGCTCGGCTCCCCCTGGGGAGCTCCCGGGGGTACCCCTGGGGAGCCACAGCCAGAAAGGGTGCACCCAAAATTAAGGGGCAGAACCCTGGAACCCCTTGCCATGGGGCATCCCCCCTGCTCCAGCTACAACCCCAGCAAAGCTGCGCTCGAAGGACCGCAGGGACAGGGACACCGCTTCCCAAGGAAGGCGTCATGCATTGGAAGGGTTGTTCCCCTGCCCCCTGCGAGCTCTGTGAGCAAACCCACGCATCCCAATCTTCCTCCACTCCCCCCGAGGTCCCCCCCTCCCTCTCGCAGGCACCATCCCCCTGGGCTGCGTTTCTGGAGGAGCAGCTCGGCTGCAGCTGTGTCCTATTTTTCTGTAGTTGATGACCTCAACTCCTTCGCCGCGCTACGGGGACGGCAGTAATGTACATCGCGTCTCGCCAGGGCTCAACTGCAATTCATCATTATTTTATCTGCTGGAATTTAATTGGATCCTATCAAACTCTCCTGATACTCCCTTTTCACTTTAAACACTGCTGCAGGAAAGATAAATGCAGGCACCGCTAGGACAGGGAGCGCGGCTTTGTCGGCGAACGGTTCTGGGGTTGGGGGCTCCAATCCTGCTCCTCTCTCCACGGCTGGTTAATTAGAGAGACACACGCTGGAGGTGCGTGGTGCTCGAACGGGGCATGTGTGTGTGATTTATGAGCCTCTATAAATACACCCCGGGCCCAGTAAAACACCGTCACCCGCACGACTTGAGCACGACTTGATGGGAGCGCTCGCCCTCTGGTTCTGGATCTCCCTTCGCTCTTCCCTCGTCCGTCTCCTCCCTTCCCTTCCCATCACACCCAAGTTGCTGCCCCCGGATTTGTCCTGCCCCAAATTCGCCGAAGAACCTGAGATCTGGGAATAAAGCAGGCCAACGCCTGGGCTCCATCATGGTAAAAAAAACACCCAGAAAGCATGAATCTGCGGGGCTTGCCTGCCCTCCCGGCACCCGTGCCTGGAGCTGGGCACCACCCGCGTGCAGGAACCAGCTCGCTCTGCGCCCACGCACACGTCCTCCCATCACTCGTCGCAGGCACGTGGCAGAAATGTTGCAGGGCTGTGTCATTTTGTCACGGGGACAAGGACAGCGAGGTCGCTCTGAGCACCCCACGCAGCTCCAGGGCGAAGGTCCCGACCCGTGCCTGCGCCAGGGGGTGACACCGGGGTGACAGCGGGGTGACAGTGGGGTGACAGCGGGAGCTGCAGCTGAGCGTGCGGCACGTGCCGGGGGGACTGCGAGGAAGGAGCCGAAAGGGAGATGCGGAGGTGCCCCAGCTGCTCAGCGCCACGTTGGGCTTTTGTCGAAGGGGAAGGGAAATAAGTGAGGCGTGAGGCTGAACTGGAAGCGCCCAGACAGCAAACTCGGATACTCTCCAAAAGGAGCGCAGGGTTCCTTCCTATTTTTACTTTTAAAGGGAAAGAGAAGCTCTGGGGCTCCGCCAGCCTCCCGAGGAACATCCTCAGGAAGGTAAATCCCTGCCAGGGAGCACACCTGTAGTCATTGTGCCAACACCAAGGCTAAATTTGATGAAGTCGACTGAATGCCTGCTACAGGCAGTAGCACGGATTCTCAGCTCGGGCGCTCTTCCACCAGTGAAACGTCATTTTATGCAACAACTGCAAGGACGAGGCCTGCTTAGGGACGGCAGAAAGAAAAGGCAGAGGTGAGGGTTGCCTGGAAAGCGAAATTCGGCGGCGTTATCTGCACAGACTGAGGGATAGGTGGCCCTTTTCCCATCCTCCGCTGCAAGAAAGCAAACTTGAAAGCGCCTGCCTCCGGAAGATTTAAAGCAGCCAATTAACAAAAAACCTGGTTTGCTGCTGAAGAATTTATTTTCTTAGTTGGGTTTTCCTTTTCTTTCTGCTTCATTGCAGTGCACGCAGAAAACCCTTAGGGTTGCTTTCTTTTTGAAGAGGAGAAAGAGACTGCAGTGAGGAGGCACAAAAGGGGTTTTTCTGCTCACTTTTTGACCTGGGATGTATGGGGAACACCAAGCCCCGTCCCCTTGGGATTGCTGAAGATCTATCGGGTGCCTCCAATGATGTTTATAGTCGGCACTCAAACCTTAATGAATGGACTGTTGAATATTTAACAAAGATGTCCTTTCTTCAAAGTGCTAAAAAGTCATTGGAGTTTGACAAGCACTAAAACCAAACAAAAGACAAAGAGTTTTAAGTGGACTTGACTTATTATCCCCTCCATTCATCCGCAATTCAGGAAAGCATCCCTAATTCAGCAAAGTAATTAACCTCTTGTTTAGGACCCATTGAACTCCTGGAAACAAAGCCCGCCTAAATGCCTCCCCGAAAGGCACCCATCCATTTCTCAACTTCCACTCCGGGAGGACAGCACGGCCCCGCTATTCCTCCCCTCACCAGCATCCTCCACACCACGCCAAAACTCGGCCTGAATACCAGATCCCAAAGGGCAGAAACCCGCAGGGTTTCTCCCAGCCTGGAGCCGAGGGAGCCCCCCAGGGCCACCCGCTCCGGAGGGTCACCGCCGGGTGACGGCGCGCGACGCACGACGCGCTATCGACAAGCCAGATGGACTGCAAAAAAGACAGGGAGGAGACGAGTTTCACAGAAGTGTGAATTTGAATCACCCACACCATAAAGCAGCCTGGCTAAATGCCCTCAAACATTAAAGCAGGCGGGCAGACCCCGAAAGAAAGACAGCTTCTTTCAAGCCAGAACTTTTTTTTTTTAATTTTTTTTTTTCTGCCTTCTGTGAAGCTGCCCTGGGCCTGCAAACAAAGCCTGCCGCCCGAGACCTCAGCCCTGCCGAGCTGCTGCTGCCCATCACGAGGACACGCAGCCTGCAATGATGCTGGCCCCTTTTTCCAGCCATTTCGCCCCGCTTTTGGGACCTAACCGGCATTTTTGAGGTCAAACGTCCAGCCCTGTTAGCCCAGGAGAAGGCGGCTGCACTTTGTGCATCCAGCTCCTGGCTGAGCGCAGATCCACCAACAAAATTCCCAGCTGGTAGCTCAGGATGGGGACATTTCACCCCCCAAGCATTAGCGCACGGGGCATGGTGCTGAGGCAGCAGGCTCAGGATGCTCCTTGTGCCCAAATGCCGCACCCCGGGGAGGCTCCTGCGATGGCTCCGAAATGTCACCGGTGCCACCGAAGGCCAGGGGAGCGGGGATTGGTGCCGGCGTTAAGCTGCAAATGAGCTTTCACAGTGTGAGTGATGGAAAACAAATTTTAAAGGGATTAAATCGGAGGGAGGAGGGAGGGGCTGGCTCCACGCGGAGGAGGAAAGGTCGGTGCAGAGCCCAGCGGGGCACTGAGCGATGCCACCTCCCGGAGGGCAGAGCCATTAATACCCCGGATCTTTTTGCTCAGGGGCTTGGTGCTCCCCTCATGGGACCAACACACAGCAGGGGCATGCCCACAGTGCTCACTAAGGGGCTGCAAAACCCCATTTAATTTAGGGAACACAACAACCAAGCTGGGCAGGCATGAGGGAGCAAACTCTAACAGCAGGGAGCGAGCGATGCACCAGCGAGCCGGGATGCAGAGGGAAGGGGGCAGGCAAAGCTGGCCCTGGTCCAAGCAACTTCCCTCAGCTTCCCAAAACAAATTTCCCTGGAAGCATCCCTAAAGCCTGGCGGGTCCCAGGTCTCAGTGGCAAGGGTGTCAACCCCATATGGAACAACCAACAGCAGGCAGCATCCTCCCCGCACACCTGGGAGCAGGGCAGCGGGCGGCAAGGGCTGCGAGCTCCCCCTTGGAGCCCCCAAAATCTCCATCAGCTACCCCGGAGGGAGCAGCCTGCCAACGAGGCGTGTACGGGGCAAGGAAACACCATAGGATCTCGTGCTGTGGGTCACTCACCGAGGTGTTCTGGCACTGGATGCTGGTGCTGTTGAAGCGCAGGGCGGTGACGCGGGTGGTGCTGCCAGGGATGTGGAAGATGCACTCGTAGTTGCGCTGCCCCGACTGGGGCTGTGGCAGGTTCTTGGCCGTCAGGGTGATGGGCTTCACCACGCCCACGGGGATGTAGATCTGGGTGGAGGGCAGGATCTGCGGGCAGTCCTGCGAGGAAAGAGAGAGGCAGAGATGAAATGGGAAAGCTGCACGGCCTCCCCTAGCAGCGGGACCCCCCCCCTTCGCCAGGCAGGGCCGTGCACTGCCAGAACGCCCCGAGAGCCACCCCGAGCAAATCCCCGTGTGCACCCAACCCCAAACGGGCTCCTCGTGGCTGCTTGGGCCTCAACACAGAAAAGGAGACTGGAGAGGAGCCTTGCGGCACGGAACTGGGCGTTTTGGGGCAAAATGGCTGTAACAAGACGGGCTTTGATGCTGGCACTGCAGTCAGTAGGTTTCAGGGTAAACACCCACTGGGTACACGCCGTCAGGCTTCCCTCCCAGACATCACGCAGCCTCCACTCCCCTTTCTCCATGAAGGGACGGACAAGGCTTTCCCCCCTGTCCCTCTGCAACACCACACAGCGCTCTGCACTGCGTTTTGCTGCCGTTTCAAACCGTGGCCAGCTCGAAGCAGCCTCACCCCAAGCAGCCTGACCGCGGGGGGCCCCAAAAACCAGCGCCAACAGCGAGGGGAAGATGATGACTCCGAGCCGGGGAGGAAGGCGAGGGCAGGGAGTGGTCCCAGCTCCCCGGGGAAGGAGCCATCGGGAGGGCAAAGCGAAGCGCTCGGCTTTTAATAGCCGCTGGCGCCCAGCTGCTCCGGGGGAGCCACGAGCTGCATGCGCAAAGCACAGGGGAGCAGGAGGGAGCAAAAATAAATGAGCTCAGGCAGAAAAAAAACAGCTCCGCGTCCCCGATGGATGCCACTTCGGCAACAACAGCCTGATGCAATCCCACGCCGGCCTTGCAGAGGCTGGCGGAGGGCTCGCACCCACGGCAGCGACCCCGGGAAGGGGCAGCTTTAAATAACGGGGCAACGTGGAACAGCTCGTGTTAAAATGAGCTGGTCCCAAAACAGAAAGTGCTGCAGGTCCAGCCCATGCCACCAGCAGCCACACATGACCGAGGCTGCCCAGGTGCCTCCTGCAGCCACCGGCACCGTGCTGGACCCCGCAGAGCCGCAGGCTGAGATAAATCCATCAAACGTGGCAGAGAAATAAAAAGCAATTGTTTTGCTTGGCGAGTATTGACAGCAAACCCCAACTCATTTCACTTTTCCAGTTTGCTGTTCCTCTCCAGCCTGTATTCCCCAAAAGCACGATTTTTAAGGGGAAAAAACACTTGTCCCCAAATCGTGCTACACAAAACAAAAGCAGGGCCAGGCTGGGGACCCTCAGCACTGTCCCTGCCACCTCCCTGTCACGACTGATCCTCCGCAAAGCAGCACTGAAGGTGCCCTCGATTGCAGAAACACGGCTTGCTCTCCAACTCCACCACCTCCTCAATTCCCCATCGCTGCTGCTCCCGGTCCTGCCAGGGCACTGGGTACCTCCACCCGCCCTTGTGCCCACCACGGCTGCTCCCAAGACCCCCGGGAGATGCAGGGAAGGAGGCAGGCACAGGCGTCCCCCCCCCAGTCCCTGATGCAGGCACGCGGGGCGGATTTGCTGCCCGGCGCTCTGAGCCGGAGCCGAGTCCCCCCGGCTACGTCACTCGCTCTGCATCTGCCGGCTGAAGCCAAGTGTCTCATCCAGCAAAAATTTCAGCCGGCTCCAAAACAGGAAGCACCTGGTGCTGGTGGGTGCTGGGGCAGTGCTGCCCAGCCCTCGGGGTGGCAGGAGGGGTGGGGGCACTCGGACAGCTCATTTCCCCTCCGAGCCCTTCAAGCAGCTGACCACGCTCGCCCCAGCACTGCCTGTCACTTAAATCCCTTGGAAATGTCCGATACTCCCCCGTCCTGCAGAAACCAGGCCTCTCTGCACATCCCTTGCTTCCAGGATTGGGGAGCAACAACATGATGGGATGAGCAGACAGCAAGGCACCCTGCCCCCGCCTTCCCGAGCGCTGCACAAGGCAGATTTGCTCCCATTAAAGATGTTTTCCCAGCTGGTTCAGGACATTACGAGCGTGCCCAAGTTTGCTTGGAGAGCTGAGAGACCGACCCAGGCTGCAAAGCTGTGGTTTGGGTTTCTCTGGCAGCTCCCGGCTCCAGCTGCAAGGCTGTTATCACCAGCAGGGGTGCGATGAGGGCAGTCTGGGGCTGGCCCTGACCCTGGCTTCCCACTGCCCAAGTCCCCGGTGACCAGGGTTGGTCAGGGAGCAGCTGAGGGGCACAGCAGGGGCACCACGGGGACATTCCCAGGAGCTGGGCACAAGTGGAGCGGCTGCAGCAGTGAGGCAGGACAGCTACAGAGAGGTGAAGCTGGATGGGGAAGGGCACTCGCTACCATCCCCTTCTCCTCCAGCTGCCCAAGCACCCGGAGGGCCGGACCTCTTCCCAACAAGGCAGAGCTTTCTCTGAGGTTTTTGGGGTCCCCCGCCGAGTTCTCCTGTGCTCGGCCATTCCCATCAGCCAGGGGAACGAAGAACAACCAAGAGCCTCAGCAAACGCTCTCGGTCCCCGCAGGTCACAAGCCTTTCGCCCCCAGTGGTGGCTCCGCATCGGGCAGACACCGGGGAACGTCTCCGGAGAGCGACTGCTGGGGAAAGGGGAATTCGGCTCCAATCCCTGATCACACCCACAGCCACCACCGGGCGCTGCAAGCAGGGACAAGCGAAGAGCAGCCCGTGCTGCTTCGTCATCCCTTCCCACCCCTTCACCCCCCGGAGGAAGCCGCAGAGGACCGAGAGCTCTGGGAAGGAGACGTAATCAAAGGCTGAGGAGCTGAGGGTTGGAAGCCACAGAAGCCAGCAGGCAGGGACATCCTTCCTGCTGCTGCCGTTCCCAGGCAGATTTACACTCCTGGTGGCTCCTGCCCACACCCCAAAAGAGCCCAGTTACCCCGGACTTTCAGGGGAACGTCCCAGGCATGCCCAGGACGGTGCTGCGGGTTTGCATTTCCCAGCAGAACACCCACCTCCCACCCGGGAAGGAAAGGAATGACGCTGCCAGTGGGAAGCAGCAGCTCCCGGGTTAAGCTCCACTATTAACAGATTTTTGTGCCTTTCCTGACCCGTGCCCACCACACTCAAACCAAGCGAGCTGCAGACAGACCAAATCCTGCTTAAAATAACTCTGGGGGTTACACATCCTCCCGGAGAGGCTCGGGCTGACTGTCCACCGTGGGTTTGTGCGGCGCTGCCGCGGTCTGGCACCGAGTCACCCCTGCCCACCGCCGGGCTGCAGGGCCGGGGACGGGGCAGGATTTCGGATCTCAGCACAGACGAGCAGCCCACAGATGTGGCTGTGCTGAGGGTGTCCGGCCACCCCTGCCAGGAACTGCTGAGGCCGCACCAAAGTGCAAACGAGCTGCGCCAGGCTCGCCAGACCTCAAGGCAGGCGCCGCTCCAGGTCCCAGGGTGACCGAGAGGTCTGCCGGGGGACAGCTTGCCCTGGAAGTGACACGAGTCCCCTGGGAAAGGTGCCTGTGTCCCAAAGACAGCACACGGGGGGTGTTACCAGCTGTGTTGGCTTGGAAGGGATGGGGGAAGAGTGCCAGCACTGCTCCCCGTGCGCACCAGCGCTGCTGGGAACCGCTGGCGCTGAGCATCCTCTGTTTGCAGAAGCTGGCTGGGAAGGCAACCTCGAGGACAGGCTGATCCCTCGCCAGATTTCTTCAGGGCACAAGCTGGGAGAAAACAGCTTTTTCTAATCTTCTCGTGTTACACAATTCCCCTTTGTGTGGGGTTGCCGAGCTGGGCTCCTTCTGGCCCGTGCATCACGCGGGCCGTGCGGGACACGCTCGAGCATCGATGAGCGCAACGCAAGCCCCTGGCGCTGGGATAAAACCACGAGGGAAGCGAGAGAAGGTGCCAAAACTTGGGAGTTGGGTTGTCTGGGATGGAAGGGACGGCGAAAAGCCAGCGCTGCTCTCACGTCCCAGCGAGTCCGAGGAGCTGGGCATGCAGAAGTGACATCCCATAGGCAGTGAGGGGACAGAAGGGGCCGTTCAACAAGCGGCGTCCCCTTTCCAACATCCTCCTGCTGCTGTGCAGAAATGGCCAAGTGCCGAGCCCACCTACCCACACACGAGAGCAGTGGTTGGGCTCCTGCAGCTCTCCAGGAGGCTTTGATCAGCTCCACGCCCAGAGGAACGATGTTGGATCCAGCACAGCAGGTAATGCCACCGTCTGCTGGAAGGCCACCCACATCCTTCGCTCCTGAAGCCCAAAGAGGTGCAGGGAGCCCAAATCTTCTCCTGTAGACACAGCAGCTCCACACAGAGAGGCAGCAGGTCCAGGCACCCTGGTTTTCCACAGGGAATGGAGAAGACACGCAGGGCCAGCCCCAGCACGGGTGAAGATGCTGCTCCATCCATCGGGTCCCAGCACACGAGGAATTGTGCTGCTGGTGGCCACGCACTGGCTGAGCGATGGCCCAGCTCTCCCGTCCCCTCCTGGAGGGCTCGAGCTCCTCAAGTAATGGCAGAGGCAGGCAGGATGAAGGGGGAAAATTGATTGTTCCCTGCTGGGAGCTTGATCTGTTCCAGTGAGGAGCCCAGAGCAGCTCCAGAGGCAGGGTCAGGAGGGAAAACAACACAGCACATGAGTAATACGGCTGAGGGCTCCCCGGCCACAGGCGGTCCCATCCAACTCGAAGCCCAGCACTGAAGCATGGGGACACAGGACAGCAACCCCAATCCAAAAGGGGACCCACGAGGCCACAGGTCCTCACCGAGGATGAAGGGAGGCATCGTAAGGCACAAATCACACGAGATCCACTCGGATATGTGGCTGCTGCTCCTCCCGAGCAGACAGACACAGCGGGAGGCTTGCTCTCGTGCCAGCCTGGACGGCGAAGTCTTGTGAGGCTCCTCAGACAGGGCTCTTTTGTTCTTTGTTCCCAGGAACCAGCCCTGGCTTGGCGGCCACCACCACACAAGCTCTGAGGGAGCTCAGAGCCCGAACAGCCAGCGTGGGGGAGGTTTCTCTGAGCTAATTTGATGAACGCTCTCTCCCCAGGCCACCATCCCCTCGCACCGCTCAGCAGGGCACTGCTGCTGGGCTCCCAGCACCACGCCTCAGGCAGCAGGACTGGAAACCCAGGTAGGCTCAGCCTGAGACACCTCCTGTGGGTTTGGCAGCCTCAGGAGAGACCGTCCTCCCCAAAACTCTCCCTTCAGGACCCTCAGAGACACAGGTTGCTTGCCAGACCTCGCCAGATCCAACCCAAGCAGCCAGCGATGCCCTGGCAGGTTGCAGAGGCAGGGAGCTCCTGGAGGTGCCCCGTGAGCGATGGATTTCCCCGGCTGGTAGCACAGATGCTGTGCAGGATAAACCCCCACAAAGTAACATGCTTCTTTGTGAAGTATTAGAGACGAAGAAGGCGTGAGGTGCAGCAAGATGGTTTGTTTTACGGATTTAAACCTTCCCCTCTCTGAAAACAAGTTGTTCTGCAATGACAATTCAAGTTTGCTCCCTTCAAAAACATCAAAGGAAAATGCTTAAGCATCTCTGCCTTTGTTTTTCACTTCATTCAGCCTAAAGTGCTTTCTGACTTAGCCCAGATTCCCAAACAGCCTCTGCAGTGACACTTCCCAGCTCGTACAGCCTCTCCCCGCCAGCAGGCAGCCCCCCAGCTCTTCCCACAACTCCCTCCTCGCTTCCCAGCACCGCGGGCACGGCCTGCGTGGGAAATGAGGCGGTGGGAAAGATTGGGAAAATGCTTCTCCTCTGGCTAAACCCATCCCTGTGGGGCAAGGGGCCGCGACGGGACAAGGGGAGGAGAGCAGAGGTGGCTCGCCTTACCTCGGAGAGCTTGACGCGCCCCTCCAGGAAGGAGCAGTCGGCGGCGTTGTGGGTGCAGATGTGCCGGTATTTGCACCAGTGGCAGGGGAAGGAGCCGTTCACGCAGGACAGGCAGCTGTGGAGAGAGCAAAGCAGCAGCGTTAGGTGGTGGCAGCAGGGGTCAAACCCCACAGCAGCTCCAGGGCTGATCCTGTGGGGCTGTGTGGGGACTACACAGCACCACTGAGGTCGCCCGGTGCGTAAAGGAGCGGGTTCGAGGCCTCTCTCCCCAAAACCCCAAGGGATGGCAGAGCTGTGCACCCAGGGCTTTGCCGCCCAGGCTGGGCAGCACCAAAGGGGTGCTTCGTCCTTCCCCCAGAGCCCACCACGCTCCCCCTGCTTGGCAGAGCTGAGCCCATCCCTCCCCGCCAGCCCTGGATGGGGCCGTGCTGCAGCTCCGGGAGCTGGGCTGTGGTGTGCTGAAAGGCAACCTTAGCACGAGGGCTCTCGGCTGCGGGGAGAGGGGGCGTTAGAGCCAACTTAATGCACGCTCATTGAGAGGAGAATGAGAAGTGGCTAAAGGTTGGGGCAGATTAACCCGTGGGGACTGTGGTGCCTTTCAGCTGCGCACAATGTGCCGCGTGTGACCCGCTCCCACCCCAAATGCTTCCCTCTTCCTGCACAGAAACCCCGGGATGGGCACCCCAAATCCCTGCCCCTGCATCCTTCAGAGGTGTGGGGACAGCTCAGGGTGCCCGGGCACCCGTGGGGCTTTGTGGGGCCGCAGCTCCCCGCCCAGGGGCTTCACACCCTGTTACATCCACAGCGATAGCTCCCTAAATCCATGCGCACACACTAAGGAAATATTTAATTAAGCTGCTTGTAAAGGGGGCTGGAAGTCATTTCCATGTTTCGCTCACATTTTCACTTCCAAATGAACAGCCCTTTTAGCTTTACCCACAAATATGCTAATTGAGATGCTCCTTATGCAAATATATGCGATTTTATTTCAGCTGCAGAGATTCGACTTAAAAGCACAGCCGAGGCCTCCGAGCTCCGGTTGCTTTGATGGAGAGAGGTGCGGGGGGGGCACAGGGGACACAAAAGGACCGCTCCTACCCCTGGGTCCTCGCCCTGAAGGGCTCAAGCACACAACCTGGGGGGCAGGTAAATGGGGGACACCTCCACCTCCTAACTCGCTCCCTGCTGGCTGCTTTTAACCAACTGGGTCGCTTCTAAAGCGATCATTTTCAGGGATGGTTTTCAAAGTGCCCCCATAAACGCGCTCAGCACACACCTCTGGCCCCACAGCACCTCAGGCCTGTCCCAGGGAGCACAGCCTGGAGACCAAGGCTCACCTCAAGCACCCGGGTGCCAGGCACACGGTTCATTAAACCCCAGAAACCAACAAAAAAAAAATAAATAGGGACTGTGAGCAGGAAAGGCTGAGCTCCAAGGTCGGGCCCCGTGGAGGGGCCGGGGATGTCCCGGGGCGGCCGTTTGTCCCCGCGGGCTGTTCCCCACACAGGAGCAGGCTGCTCGGCAGCACGGTGCCATCTGTGCTGTCTCTCTCCTTCCCACGGTCAGGCTCTTCTCCCTCGTCACTCCTCGCCTAAGAGGCTTTCATCACTCCTGATAATTAGGGGGAGTTTCTGCCGCCTGTGCTGAAGCCCCCCCGGCTCCCTGAAGCAAGGCAGGCAGAGCCCAGCCAGGCACAGCACCGACACACGGACCCTTGGGGACCCTTGGTTTGCTCCCCTCGTCCCCAATTCCTTCCCCAGAGCCCTTGCAGGGACTGGGGAGAGGCAAAGCCTCCAGGGAGGGCAGGAAAAAAGGAGGGAACCTCGGCTGTGCTCCCCTCCCTCCTAACACCCCTGTGCACGAGGAGCTGTAACCTCTCCAGGATTTCAGGCTCGCTCTGTGCACACATTCCCCGTCCTAAAACAAGCCTGGGCTTGCTGCCTGCCATAAATCCACCCCCAGAACGAGCCGGCAGGCGGCTCCCCACCAGCAGCATGGGGACAGACACAGCTCTGGGCAGGCTGGGGGCTGGTGCTCGCCCCCCGGCTCACTGCCAGGCTGCCTCGAGGCCTCCTGGTGCTGCTCCCCTCGGGTTTCCAAACCAACCTCTGGCAGCCCCAGCTCTCTCTCGGTCGGAGAAGCCAGCGGGGAGCGGGCTCACCGCCCCCTGCCCTTCCCAGCTGCCAGCCCCAGGCGTGCCACGCGTGCCTCGCCGCCGCGTCGGCATCCAGGCGGCCTGGGAACGCGGCCGCTCGCTTCTCTTATCTCCAGCCTGAAAGAGCTGAGAGCTCTCCAGTGCTCCGAGCGGAGAGGGAAAGGCAGAAAACAAAACCGGCATCCGCAGGAGCGAGATAAGGCAGGGCGAGCAAACAAGAGAGGGAGGGAGAGAGGGGAAGGAGAGGCTGGCTAAAGGTGAACCCACCAGCTCCATACACCCCAGGAGTGGGCTTCGGAGAAGCAGTGAGGCAGGGGAATAATCCCGTGCTGAACAGGAGCAGCGTGTTTTTGGGGGAAGGACACAGCACAAACTGAGATGGGCTGAGTTCAATGACACCCAGTGCACAACGAGGGAGGGTCACGGAGAGGGGAACAACGAACACGGCGCTGGTGCAAACAGCATCTGCGTGCGCTCGCCACACACCGCCCACGAGCCCCCAGGCTGCTGCTCAGACCTTCTCCTGGCAAGGAGGATGCGTCCTTAGTGGATAGCCAGCTCCAGCACAGCCTGCATCTGGAGCAGCAGCTGCACGGGGTGAGGGGCTGAGCTGCAGCATTTGGGGCTCTATATCCATCGCTTTGCCCCAGGGATGGGGGGAAGCTGGAAGAGCAGCGGGAGTGGGCAAGCAGTGCCCCCAGCCCCTACCCAAACCCCTGGCACGAGGCACACCCACAGCAGATCTGCTCTCACCTACCTCCAGCCCTCTCTGCCTACCTCAAACCATCAGCTTTCTGCCCTCTCGTTTTTAGGGACCTTTTCCATCCCTGCTGTGAAGGGTTTTCCTGGGGTCCTGCTCACGGGTACAGGGGTTGGGCACAGGAAACCCCCTGCGTCCACACCTCTCTGCCTAGAGCTTGCAGAATCAGGCCCTGAGTTTTAAACTCTTCAGAAGCAATTTGTTTGAAACACACCGCCAGGCTGCACCAGCCCTCCTCCTCGCTCACAGCAGAGGTGACCTAGCAGAGGTTATCCCGAGCAGCCTCTGATGCGATCCCGCAGGGTTTCCCACCTGCCCTAGGCTCGGAACAGGCGCAGATCTGTTACCGCCTCGCAGCTCAGAGGTGGTAAAACACAGACACACTTCGTGAGCCGCCCGCAGCCATCTGTCCGTGCCGTGGAGGAGAAAGCATCTGCAAGCATCTGGAAATCAGCAGCCCCGGCTTTGCAAGCTGCTACCGAGCGTGCCGCGGGCAGCCCGGCCGGACAGGAGCCTGGTAACAAGGCTGGCACCGTCCCATGCTGCCACCAAGGGACAAAGCAAGCGGCCGGCGGGCTCTGGGACACGGCAGGCAGGCGAGGAGAGCAGCCCCGCTGCTCCCAGCCCCTGAGCTAGGCATTAAAATCCCATTTGCCTAATGGGGACTTATAGGGCCAGCCCGACCTGTGCGACGAGGCTGCCCTACTCGAACGCAGCAGTCGCCTCTCTCCAGCCAGGAGAGATGCTTGCACGTTGCTCGAGATGTTCAGCACCCTCGGGGACGTTCAGCACCCCGGCACCACAACTGGCACAGCCACGAGGGCAGTACCACCGTTACCCCATGGATGTGCACAAGCACAGCACAGGCATCCATCGGCACCAATTTCAAGTCTGCCCAGCTCCCCTCTCTCAGCATCAGTCCCCCTGACGTGGGATTTTTCTCCTTTTCCTGTGCCACCGCCTGGGTTTTGCTTCCACACCACTCATGGCCACGGCTTTGCCTCTGCCCACATGCTCGGAGCATTTTGGTGATGTGCCAGGCACGCCACAGCATCACACAAGTGCCAACACTCTCATCCTCCTCCCCACCAGCTCCACTTGCCAGCCCCCAGGACCAAAAAGAGGAACCCCGACAGCGGTTAAGAACTCAAATTTCCCTAAGGGAAATCCAGGCAGCAGGCATGGGAGCAGTGGGAAGAACCATGTCTTGGTTGTCTCCTTGGGAACAGCTGGGTTTGGAGCCTGTCGGAGGCAGGGACTGGATGAGGGGGCTCTGTGCCAGCCCCACGTGGGCTCTCTCCAGGCCCCCAGCTCTGCAGCTCTCATATCCGAGGAATTCCCCTCTCCAAGTGCTCCCCACCCTCGCCCTGCATTGTTCTCTGGCTTTGCAGGGGGATTTCCCATTCACCCACCTCCCTGCGCTGGAGGCAGGCGGGGAGCCTGGCATCGCGGCTTTATCTTGAAAGGGGACTCATTTCCCAGAGAATGCTTTGAAGAGGGAGCTTAATGCTTACAAAGACAACCTCCACATCTGCACACAGGCACTCCGGACACAGGCTGATTCATTAGACTATCAAAGCCTCCAAGTGGTCTTCAATCGCCTGCGCCTGATCAATGCCCCATAGGAAACCCCCGAGGGAACCACGGAGGCCTCCAGCCCGGTGCTCCCCATCCCCTGAGCCCACAGGGGCAGCCCCGTGAGCTGGCGGATACCCTCCTGCATCCCTCTCTGCGAGGGACCCCAGTTTTCTGCAGCCAGCTCCAGGTTTCCTCTTCTCCACTCAATGCAGACGGTGGCTCCACCAGCAAACCCCTCCCCGACGCAGAGACCTCCAGGAGAAAAAGACCCAAAACCTGGAGAAAAATACCCCAAATGCCACAACCTGGAAAAAATCCTGAGCCCCAAAGGAGCTTTCCAGGTGACCCAGAGCAGGAGGAAAGCCCTCCCCAAGGACAGGATGAGCTGCTCTTCCATGCACTCCACGTGCTCCATAGGGCACGAGCTGGTGACAGGGGTCTCGGTGCAGATCCAGCACTCTGCACTTCACATCATCCTGCCAACCCTTAGCAAAAAGCCCCCTGTTGAGGAATTCAGAGGCATCCGACCCCAACCAGCCAATGCCCCTGACCCAGGCACACCCCCTGCACATGGAGCCAACAGTTTGCATTCAGATCCCTCCCTGCCTCGTGGCAAACACCGACACAGCCCCTGGACAGAGGAACTCACCGAGGCATTATACAATAGTTTTACCCATCCTCAAACACCTCGTGGCCTCAAAAGCCTGCTGAAATTCCTGCCTGCTACAAGGAAAGGCTCAGAGAGACAAACCCCCACCTGCCTCCTTGGCTGCATCTCCGCCTCCTCGCAGGCTGCGGCAGGAGCCGGGCGCAGGGCTCGTCCTCGTCGCTCTGAACGGGAAACGATTTGTTTTCATCGCAAACAAACCTCGCTCATTTTTCAATCACGGCAGGCTCTGCCTCCCCGCTCACCCTTCGGATCCAGCAGAGCAAGGACAAGGCCCTGCTGCGGGGCTTTTCTGCAGGAGGAGCTGGAGCAGCCCTGGTGCAGCGCCTGGTACCCCCGGCGCACCCCTCTCCGTGCTGTTACACCATTGATTGTGATTTCTGCCCATTCTGCATCACCTGGGGATCACCCACATCAGGCAGGCCGCCAGGAAAAGGGGACTGGAAACAGCCCAAAGTCACAGCATCATCTCCCTGCAAAAAGGGGCTGGTGCCAAAGGGATCCCTTGTTGCAAGCTGCCAGCTGGAAGCGTCCTGTAAACGGGCACAGCGCTGCTCACCCCCTGAAAACCACGGGGCGTATCAGTCCCAAAACAAGAGCTATCCTGAGAATCTGAGTCTCTACTAAGTATTTCAGGCTGCAGGTGTTGGAAAGGGGAAATCAGAGAAAGAAGAGGCACCTGATGAGAGCCTGCAAGGCACTGGGAGTTGCGGGAAGGAGCCTGGAACAAACCCTTTCCAAGGACTTTCTGCCTTGGAAATGCACGGGGAGAGCTCCGAAGCCACACAGGTGGAGGAGCATCAGCTCCCCAGGAGCTGCTCCAGCAGAAGAGCTGCCTTGCAATTCCTCTATCTTTCCCCAGCAGTTTGAAAACCTCGCCCAAACATTTCATCCCCGGCTGAGGAATGAGTCGACGTGCCGGCCTCTGGCTCCCAAGCCAAGCCAAGCTGCCCAAATGTAAAACGAAAACATAATGCACGGTCATCAGAGAACTCCACAGGAAAAACATTAGCCTCGTGGAAAAGCACATTGCTCCTAATACAGAATTTATCAGGCTGACTTATAGATTTTCCTCTGCAAAATATGAAACCTGGATCTGAAAGGCTATTAACTCCGAGGAGATCCATTAAAGACGCCTGTCTGCAAATGGTATTTAAAAGTATTGCATCACCCCCGAGATCGTCGTGCTCTGTGGGTATGATTCGGCTGCAGGTCACATCGTTAGAACTGCCTCCAAACCCTAAAATTCTTGACGTAAAGAAAATAATAATAATGTTCACCAGCCTAGAACATGGACTTTTCTATCAGCTCCAACCGGAGCCCATAAATATTAATGCATCCATAATTAGCCTTTTTAAATAATGCATCCAAAATTAAACATCAACGCGGTAATAAATCAGTCAGGGCTCTTTGTTGTAGGTTTGTTGGGGAAGAGGGGGGTGGGTTTTTTTTTGCTCCTATGTCAGGCACATAAAATAAAATGCCAATTCCCTCCCCAGCCCTTCCCGCTGGACCAAAACGCTGTGGCCCTCGTTGGGCTAATCCGATCCTCCTTGTACTTAGAAGTCTCGTTTCTCGCGTTTAGAAAAATAAAAGTCGCGTCTGCTTTCTGATTTGCAAAATAATGACATGCAGCCACCCTGAGCCAAAGCTGAGCTCATGTTATTGAAACCGCACGACGTGAAGGGAGACAAAGCTCATCTCGGGAGGCAAGGTGAGTGCGAAAGTCAAGTTTGCAAACTCCCTCCCCCCTCGCTCCCCGGAGTAAATCCTGCTCCTCGTGCCAGCGCAGGCAGGGCAGAAACCCCGGGGCTGCGATGCACAAGGCTTGCAGGGCCCCGCTGCAGCGGTGACAGCTTCATTTTGCTCTCTCACCTCGATATCCCCGGGCCTTTTGGAGGCTGCACACCCCCAGCCGGGTGCCTGCACATCTCAGCTGCCTTCCCCTGACCCACGCAGGAACCGCAGCTCGCTCGCCAAACCCCCAAGCCAGGCTGGATCCTCGGCAAAAAGCTGTCCCAAAGAGATCCCTCCGCGCTTGCTTATCTATAATTACTGATCAGCCCGAGTGCCACCATCCGTGGGAGGCTGCTGGCAGGAGAAGGAAATTGCTCGCATTCTCCAGCTCCAAATCCTTTGCCCGAACACATCCCGGCATCTCCTCCGGCGTTCCCCCGGCGCAGCCCTCTCCCCAAGCACGCTGCCCACAGCTCCTAGAGACTCCAGCCACCGTGCTTAGACAGCACGTCAATAACCCACACCCCCTCTGCTTTATCCCATGCACATCTCAGACCGCCTAAAAACACATATTTGAAGTAGGTTTCAAGGCAGCCTGACGAGAAAGCAGATTCACAATCACTTCCAGCGAGGCAGCGCTCGGGTGAAGGCTCCAGGACACGCAGCTCTGCTGGGACATCCCAGCTCCCTCCCCACACAGCTGGGCAGGAGGTACCCCCATAGGAGAGCACGGCTCTCCTTTTGCATGGCCAAGTCTCTCCTGTTAACTGTTTGCAGGGATAACGAGCCGCTTGGCATTTGCAGTCACATGGACTGCTACCGCCTGCAATGCAGTAAACTCGCTTTTTCCTCCGAAGCTTTTCTCAAACCCAAAACCCCCGCTCTTAAGCGAGGTTCAGCCCTGATGCTGCGTGTTCCCACGTGCCCAAACCAGAGCGCACTCACGAAGCCCAGGTCACTTACGACTGATGGACGCTGCAGTTGTAGAACACAAAATCCACCGAGGCAAACTTCTTCCCCGTCTCCTTGGATTTCAGGTAGAGCTTCACCACTCGCTTGTCCCCTGGGAGAGAGCAAGGCAGAGAAGGGCGTCAGAAAGGACACGGCGCGCAGCACAAGGCTGGAAGGATCTGGGCAACAACTCCACTCATCCCAGCCAACTAACAAAACCTCCACACCGGGAAACACAAGGAGGGTGCCCATCCATACCCAACCAGACACCAAACGGGTCAGCAAGGCGCAGGCACAGCACCAAGCCCCTCCAGCTAACTGCAGCTGTCAGCATGGAGGCAGCTGCCTGGGGGTGTGCCAGTGGTGCTGGAGGGGAACTTAACAGTTCTGGGGGCAGCAACATCCTAAAGTCTGTGGATATGTGCAGTACCTCTGCCCAGAAATGGTCCACAGCTGGGGAACGAGGCCAGCGTGCCCCATAATTAGTAGGACTGCCATGCAGACTGTGGCAGTGCCAGCATGTAGCTGTGCCATGGCTTGGATGAGAGCAAGGAGCTCAAGAAGCAGCAGCAGCAAAGCCCTTTTCCTCCGACACCCCAAGAACCCTGCTCAGACCCTGGGGATCTCTGTCACAGGAGGCTGCCCTCCTCGGTGCCTGGCTATGGGGCAGCCGCCAGGACAAGGCTGGCCTTGGGTTTTCTTCCAACCCCACGCCCAAGAGACCCGAGCTCACCGCGGCCCCTGGTGATGGGGATGACGTCCTTGGCAGAGGGAGAGCTGCAGTAGATCCTCCCGTCCTCGATGCGGCTCTCGGACTCGGTGAAGTCTTCGAAGGAGCAGTTGACTCCTGCTGAGAGGTCTGGGACGTTCCAGGCCTGCAGGACCAGCTGGGGGAGAGAAGGCAAAGCATTGCCCCAGGAAACTACCAAAAGGACTCCTCTGTGGCTGCTAGGAGCAAGCACAGCCAACAGAAAAGACCACGGGGGTGCCAGCCCCCCCGCCCTCAGCCACACGTGGTGGGGAGAGCTGCCCCAAGGGAGCACCATCCACCTCCAGGACCTCCCCAGCCAAGCCAAGAGCGCGGAATGACGTGGGTTAAAGAGTGAACAAATCACTGCCTGACATCCTCTGCCCTCTCCTGCACCACGAACCATTACACCTCACCTCCCTGCAGAGACCAAGCCCGGTGTTTGGCTAAAGCGCATTTCAGAGAAAGGCATCCACTTCTGCAGACATCAAGAGGGGAGGAATCCACCTCTTCCTTTGCAAATTCATCGCCGGGGTCAGCAGTTCTCGCTTTACAAAACGCTCGCCTTATTTCTCATTTGAATTTTTCTCAGCTTCCAGCCATTAGTTCTTGTTATGCCTTTCCTTGATAGATTAAAAAGCCCTTTAGTCCCTGATATTTGCTCCTTGTAAAGGCACTTATACTCTGTAATCAAGTCACCTCTTAATCTTCTTTTTGATAAGCTAAGCAGATTGAGCTCTGGAAGCCTCGCACTGGAAGGCATTTTCGCCAGCCGTCAGCTCATTTACATGATGTTTACCGAAGGGTTCAGCCTGCTCCTCCAAGCACTCGCTCCGGCCCCAGTGCTGCGTCCTGGTGTCGATGGCACCAGACCCCTGTGCTGCACCCAGCCGGGAGGCACAGAAATAACCACAGAGAGCGGAAAAGCTACGAGCTCAAAACCCCTCTGTGCTCACAGCCTGCCCCCAGGAGCCCTTCCTGACACAGCACGGCCCCGGGATCCCATCCAAAGGCACCGCTTTCCAGGACATCTCTCGAAAGCCGACCTTCCTCCTCGAGCTCTCGCTCTGGTTTTGAGGTATCGGCACCAAACCCCCTCCCTCTGCCACACCAGCCCCTCTCGAACCCCATAGCTCGGCGTGGGGATCACATCCCCGGCTCCCTCCAGTCCCGGTGTCCCCTGCAGATCCCATGAGCAGCGACCCCACATTTATTTCCACGTTAGCAATGACACCACGAAGGGCAGCCGAGCCGCGCTCCGATCCCCGCGGCAGCCCTTGCAGAGCGCTGCCGCTCGGTGACAATTCCCCTCTGACGACGACTTGGAGATCTGTCACGGAGCCAGTTCTTAATCCACTTAACACGTGCTTTATCAATATTGCATAATGCTAATTTTTAATCAGGATGTTGTGTTGCACCGAGTCAAACGCCTTGTAGAAGGCTAAAAGACATCACAGCCCCGCAGTCCCTCTTCTAATTCGAGGCATAATTTCATCAAAGAACAAAATGTGGTTTGTTTGACAGAAAACCACATGGACTGGCATTAATTACGTTCCCATCTTTGATTCTTTATCACTCGTATCCTGCATCTTTTTTTTTCCCACTAGTTTTTCCTCAGCCCGGTGTCCAACCAAGCCAACCCTAACCATTTGGCCATCCCCTGTACCCTCCCTGCACCTGGGCAGAAAAACGAGTCCCTCCTCTGCTGCCTGGGCTTTTTCTCAGCGTTCCCTGATTTATCCCAAAGCCGCTTCTGCAAGCCAAGGAATGCTCTGGCCATCTCCTTCAGGACTCCTGAGTGCCAGACATCCAGACCTGGCAGTTTGTGAGGGTTTATTGCTAGTATTCGCTGTTTCGCGTTCTCTTTACAGTGCTAATGGCCTGGAAAATCCTTGGTGGAAGTACATCATCCTCTCCGTCTGCACAGACGGGGCCGCGCATCTCAGCCTCATCCCAAAATATCCACTGCTGGCCGCTGTCAGAGACAGGATATCGAGCTAGATGGATCCCTGGCCTACACACGGCACTTCTCATGTTGTTATTTATATTACGGAGAAATATTTATTGCTCCGTTATGTCTTTTCTGCATGATAATCAGCCGCTCTATTACCTCCATCCAGCGCCAGGCCAGCCCTCATCAATCCCCTGCACTTTGCTCCACTTTATTTGCATCGCACCCCTCTTCCCCTTTCTCCCTCTTTGCCATACTCTCGTTATTTATTTTAATTACTGCCTGGGCAGCAGGGGTGCTTACCGGGACCTCCGACATGGTGACCGAGATGTTTTTGGGCTGGACGGTGAGCTGCACGCACTGCCGCAGGTCGGAGGCGAAGCGCTGCGGCTCGTCCGCCCGCTCGCACCGGTCCTTGCGCGAGCATCTGCGGGGAGACGAAACGCGGTGAGCAGACAGCAAACAGGCTGTGAGACACCCTGCTGCGGGACAGCGTGCCCGGTGAGGGATTTTATCTGCTCAAGGCTGGACTAGGAGCTCTTTTTTCCACTCGTGCCCACCCCCCTCTCATCTCGCCCTGCAGCCGCCGTGCCCAGCGCACACGTTCACAGCCCGCGATGCTCCATCACCTCCCACCCCGGGCGCCTCGCCTGTCCTCACGGAGCAAACAACTCCCTCCCGCTGCTCTTTGTGCTTTCCGCAATATTATTTCATTACGGGAGGCGTTTTAATTAAACGGCGGGCAGAGCGGAGAGGGGAGAGCAAACCGTGCGTGCGCTGTACGGTGCTGGCTGAAACGGGAGGAGGCAAGGGGCTGGCACGGCCATAAGAAACCCCTCGGGGGGCTCCAGACCCCATGGCCAAGTGTGAGGACCAGGACAGACCTCCCCAAGGAGGAAAGCAGTGGGGCTGGACACGGATTACAAATCTCTGGGGCTGTAGGAGCAGCCCGTGGTACTCACATGTTGTGGAGGACGCACCAGCCGCAGTGGGGGTCCCGGGAGCCCAGGCACAGCTCGCAGCTCTCGTACTGCTCGCAGCTCTCCACCGGCACCCGCGTCACCTGCGGGACAAGGCAGGGAGTGAAGGAGGGGACGGGCTGCTGGGGACAGCAGGGACAGCAAGGGGTGATGCTGCCCGGCATCCCTCCTGCTCGCCGGGCTCAACGGGGCGCAGATCTAAGCGGGGAAAGGCTTGGACATGACACCGTTGGGTTTGGGAGCTCTGCACGGACAACACCTCCTGGCTGGCCCGGCAAGGCCAGGATGGGGAAACTTTTCTTTGCAGAGTTTAGGGAACGGCTCAGCCCCAGCTCCCAGCTCCTCCTGCATACCCCCGTGGCTGGCAGCCCCGCTCCGAAAGGGTTACGGCTCCTTTATTAATTGCTCCTCCACATTTGATTAAAATCCCCTCGTTCTCCGAGCCCTTCGAGCTCTGTTACAACTGTTCATTTAATTACTTTCCAGCAGCACTCTGATAACACCACGCTGTTGTAGGGAAAGGAGCGGCTTTTATTAAGGAGCAGGGAGGAGAAGCGGGGGGACGGGGCGGGGGCTCGGGAAGCTGCCCGCACCCCTTCTGTGCCTCAATTTCCCCACTGCTCCCGTGGGGCAGGATTTGCTCAGTGGCATTCCTAAAACAACCTCTGCCACCCAAGAAAAGGGGCACAGTCTCAGCCAGGGACCCCTCCTTTGTCCTACCAGGCCAGAGGATGGGCTCGGCGTGATGTGGCCTGGCACTGCCCTAGCCTCAAATTCCGGAGCCCAAATCCCCTCCCTGCCTCACCTGCAAAGCCCCAGGCTGCCTGCAGCAGAGCAGAAAACAGAGACAGGAACCGGGAGGAGGAGGGGAAAGGCTCTGCTGTCCCCATGGGGCTGTCTAGACAAACACGAGGCCGCTCTCCAGCATCCTTCTCCCTCCCAACCCCCGGGCGAGCGGCCAGGAGACCTGCCGTGCTCCAGCCACCATCCCACCCCTGTGCCCCTCTCCGGGCAGGCAGGCATGGAGCTGATGGGACTCGTGGCTACCTGGACATCCGCAATGATTCCTGGGCAAGGACACCCAAAAAGAAGGGCTGGGGAGCTGGGCCACCAGCACAGGTTGGTGATGGGACCACAAAAACAGCCCCTTGGGACCACAAAAACAGCCCCTTGGGTCCCCCAATCCTTGGAGGACAAGCAGGGAGCTGCCAGCGTTGGTCTCAGCTCCATCCTCTTCCTCCTTCTCCTCTTCCTCTGCCACCCAGGCAGCATGTGGGAGGGAGACGGGACCAGAGCGTGGCTGGCGAGGCTGTGAGCGCCCAGCCAGCCCGGCCCCACAGCCCCAAAACCTGCCACCGCCGCGCGGCACAAAGCCCTGACGCAGCAGGATCCCGCTTCCCCCGCCCCGGCGCCTGGCAGCCCTTTGATGGATTAACTCGTAGCAGCAAGCTCCCCGGCGAGCCTGGGATCACGCCATCCCCGTACGGCCAGCTAAAACCCATCACGAGCCCCGACCGTGCTGCTTGGGTGGGGTCTGCACCTCTGAATGGGTGCGAATTTGGGGAGGCAGAGGCACGGACGGAGGTGTGCGCGCCGAGGTTTGAGGGCACGGCAGCTCTGCTGGCTCCAGCCAACGTCCCCCCCTGCCCTGAGGTGCAAAAGCAGCGAGCCCAGAAGGGAAAAAGCTGCTCAGAGCAAGGAGCTAACCTGCAAATCCCTGCTCGGGGAGGGAGGGATGGAGCAGAGGAGGTTTACGGCCTCGCAGCAGGGAACGCAGCCCTTGCAGCAGCTCGCTGGAAGGGTCGGGCAGCCCTCGGTCCCCAGGGGATGGGGATTTCAGGCAGCTGCTGCTAAAGATGAGTGCCTGGGGCACAGAGCACGGGGAGGAGAGGAGCAGCAGGGCAGTGTCTGGGAGCTGGTGCCTCCGGGCGGTGTTTCTGCACAGGGGAGCAGGGAGGAGCTGCACATTCCCAGGCGGCGCGGGGACAAAGGTGACCGGGTGGCTCAGCAGCAGCTGGGGCCAGAGCCTGGGGAGCAGAGCCATTAAGAAATGGAAGGAAAGTGACCTTCTGGCAGGGCTGGCGGGGTCTGTCCCCAAGAGACGCACCAAAGGACGGAGAGGGAAGCACAGCACCAGCCGTCAGGGCAAAAGGAGCATGGGGAAGAGACGCACAGCGCGTCTGGGGGCTGCCACCTGCACAGGGAACAGACAGGAGCACGTGGCAATGGGGTGGCTTTAGGGACAGCACCCACCGCTCCATGCTCACCTGCCTGAGGCTCAGGGCACCCTCATCCGTGCTGCTTTGCCCCACCAGGTGCCTCGTGGGCAGCCACTGACTCCAAAAAGGGCCGGATCCTCACCAGGGAGCTGTCCCAAAACATCCCCCAGACAGGCGCAGGCTGCAACCTGGGCTGTGGGGTCCGGCGAGCCGAGGGGCTGCAGCCCCCTCCCCTTACCTGCTTCTCGGTCATGGCGTAGAGGTGCTGGCGGTCAGGGCTCAGCACCAGGTCTCGCAGGATGGAGCTGCCCTCGTGGGCCACCACGTTCTCGTACTGCAGCGCCTGGTGCTTCCTGTCGGCCGGCAAGTCCACCAGGATCTGCGGGGACAAAGAGGGGGTGAGCACAGCCCCGTGCACGCCTCGCACCCACCCCGAGGTGGGGAAACAAGGAATGCATCCCCCTAGGGATAACAGGGGCGAGCCACGGCCACCGCAGCATCACAAAGCAGCACAGAGCACAAACACCTCAGCCCTCTCCAGGAGGTCTCTGGCAGATTTCTGCTCTCCTTTGTGCACGTCACCACCGTCACTACGTTTACGCACATCCAAAATCCTCACCCTGCACATGACTGCACCCAACTCCTCATCACCCCGCTCTCCCCACCCTAAAGAGCCCCCCCAGAGGAGCCCAGCCTTGCTCAGCCGTAAGGCCAGCAGCTCGCAGGCAGCACCGCACCGAGCGCTGACATCTCCCCATCCACCAAAGGAAACGCTCGGGGTCGTGGCTGGGGAAGTCCAAAGGGTCTCGAGGAAGCCGAGGGTCAGCAGAGGTCCAGAAAGCGCCTTTGTTCCTTGAGCAGGAGCGTGGCAGGGGCTCTGATCCCATTAGGGCTCGCAATCATGTTAAGGAGCTTCCCAAGTGGGCTGGTTCCTCGCTGCACCGGCGCTAACCCCGTTGGGAGGCACCACGGGGTCAGCAGCACGCACCAAGCATGAGCCGAGCCCCGACAAAGCTCTGCTGTTTCAGAGACCCTAAACCTTCCCAAAACACATCCCACCCTGATCCCGACCCCGCAGCCCCCCGGCAGGGCCAGACGCTGGTGTTTGCAGGGTTCCCAACCAGAGGCTGCGGGGCCGGGCGAGCAGGATGGGGATGGCGGCGCGCAGCTGATTAGCATGGAAATGTATGCGGCTCACAAACAAACCGGGGCCCGTTTAATTAGAGCGGCGCCTTTGATTCACCGCCAGCCTCCTGCACGCACCAGCCCCGGATTATTTTTAGGCAGTTTTACAAAACAAATGTATTTAATTAAGAAAGAGACCCCTGAGCAGCCAGGGAGCGCGGCGGGGCGCGCAGAGGCCGCCCTCGCCCCGCGGGACCCGGGTGCCAGCCTCGCAGGGGCAGACACAACTTTTTGGAGCCCTTGGCACAGCCCCAAACCCCCAGTCCTTGCTGTTCCCCCAACCAGGACCCCGTTGGGCATTTTCCCATCAATCCCACACCCCCTTTAGGGTCGCTCCCCTCCCAGCTCCCAGCCTCCCCACCACAAAACCTTGCCCGAGCTCTCCGGAGGGACGGTGCCATGGCAAGGTGACAAAGGCACCTCTCCAGCCCTTTTACGGGCCGGAGCTGCAGCAGGGAGGAATCGATGTAGTTTTACCCTGGTCCTAAAATAGATCTACAAGGGGATGTTGCGCCGGCAGTAATTTTTAACTAGCGGGGTAATTTCCCCATTACATTATTGCGCTGCGCAGTGCTGGGAAAGAGAAAGGGATGCATTAAAAGAACAGACGTGAAGCACTTCCAGTTAATTTGAGGCTCCAGGAAGGACCTAAAACTAATGACTGTAGTCAAAGGGGGCTGGGGCCAACACATTGGGGTGCTCTGGAGGGGACCTTGCAGCCACCCCAAACATGCACGCATGGGAATCCTCCCCTCCGGCACCTGCTGCAGCTCTGCGGGTCAGGAAAATGGGATTTGGGAGGGTTGGCATGGCTGTTTGGGCCATAATAGAGTGGTTTCCCAGTGACATCTCTTACCGGCACAGGGGTGGCTTCCCCTTTCCTCCCCGCACACCCGTGCCCACCTGCGGGGCCGGGGGAGAGGATGTGCAGTAATCAGAGCAGCCCCCTCGGAAGCACGTGCCTTCCTGCCCACCCTGCTCCCCTTCCCACCCAGGGGAAAACACAGCCACCGGGGGAAAAAAATAAAACTCTATTAACCTTTCTCCTCATCCTGACGCTGATATAATTACCCAATACTAATAATTACCCACACTAATTTCTCACTCCGGATTCCTGTCCTAGCTCGGCTTCCTCATGCGATTGCGGCCGAGCCGGCGGCGAGAAGCCTTCGGGATGGGGCTTTTCTTTCCCATGGGGCTGGAAGGATCTGCGTGGTGGAGCCTCCCCCCACCAAGATGCAGATGCAGGAGGCACAGACAGGGATTTTTGCAGTCCCCGTGGCAATGGGGTACCCTACAGAGGCAAGAAGAGCCCACGGTAGTGGGGCTGTTGTCTCCTTCAGCACCTGGAGGAGACTGGAGGCAAGAAATTACAAGCTGGCTGCTTGTAGGAACCATCTTAAGCCAGGGCTAGAGGCTGCTCTGCAGGACATGGGCACACGCTGTCCCCACGGCCACGCAGCACAAAACCAGCCCAATTTCCCTGCAAGCTGCACCGGGCGGCACCGCACAGGGAGAGGTTTCAGGAGCAGGTCCCCTGAGAAGGGCGCAGAGAGAGCTCCCGGGGGTGGTCTCAGCTGGAAAAGGGAGCTCTGCCCCTACCCAGCTGCTGGCTTGGGAACAAGAAGGTCTCACCACGGTCTCACTGCCTGGCTACAAGGCGCAGGGACAGCGGCACCGGCCAGCCCAGCTCCTGCCTTGAGTCCAAAGCTCCACCTCGAGCTCAGCTCTCCTTTGCCACCACGCCGCTGGAGCGCCCAAACGCTTTTGCCAGGGCCACCCCGCGTCAAGCACGAGCCAAGAGCCTCTGCCCCACAGAGCTGGCACTGTCTGACACGAGGTGATACCAACAGATGGAACGAGCCACTCGAGGGTGGAGGACACCACAAGAACGAGGTCACTGCCTTGTACTCACCACCAAAAATTCAATTGTGGGCAGAAGAAACGCGCATTGGAGGCCAAACACGCTGTGCTTCAACGCCCTGAACTTCCTCATCTGTTTCCACTTTGCCTCTTCCCAGCCCACGTGGCCTGTCCCTCGTCCTGCACAACTCCACGAGACCGCAGGCTGAGACCCAAAACCAGTGGGGAGGTGAAAGGACCCAGAGGAGTCACGGTGGCAGAGGGATGGCTCAGCTCACAGCGGCGCATCCGCTCCCCAGGCAAGGTGCCCTCCGGGGCAAATGTGCCCCAAGAGTGGCCACAACCGTTGTCAAAGTGACACGGGGAAACCCTCCCGATGTGCTTACAGGCACCGGCACTGGGGGAGAGGAGAGGAGAGTCTGCCTGGCCCACGTTTTGGAAAGAGGGACGATGAGAAGGATGAAGAGCAGCAGCTGCAAGCAGCCGAGCCCCGGCTGGCGGCCGCCCAGCGCCAGCAGCGGGTCAGGAGGGGACGGCGGCGCAGGACGGGGCTCCGCAGCTCGGGAACGCCAGGTGGAGAGGGAGAATGCACAGCCGGGCAGGGAAAGCAGCCGTGAAGATGCCAAAGCTGCTTTGGGATTTAACGAGCAGCAGCAGGAGCCCCATGAGGGTGGCGAAGCACTGCGGGATGCAGCGCCTGCAAGGGGCACACGGAGATGGCGACACAGGGACGAGCTGGTGCCACCCATGCCCTGGCGTGGGGACAACTCATGAGCCCTCCACCCAGAGGGAAGAGGCAGCTCCTGAGCGGGGTTCTCCCACCCCAGGCTCCCAGCGCTGAGCTCGGTGCCGAGCGGTACCCCGCCGACCCCTCCTCTTGGCACGAGAAGTGCTCCGCGCCGCTTTGTGCTCTTATCTGCACGCGGCTGTGATTAATTCTCAGTGGCTGGCAGCAGCTACAAGAGGAGGGCGCTTTCGCCCGCCTGCCACACTTCAAAGGCAGGGACTTATCTGCCTCAAACACACTCCGCAGCCTTTTCACGGGGACCCTTTCCAGTTCCACGGGGCTCGCGCGGCGCTGACAGGCGTCGCCAAAGCAAGGCTTATTTACGGGAGTGCATTTCAAAGCCTTCCCCTTCCCTCCCGGCGCTCCGGACGCTTGCTGGGGGAGGCAGCGAGATGCAAGCCCTGCACAGACAGCCCCGTGCAGCTGCTCTGCCAAGGATTCGATGGGGAGATGCTGGAGGATGCCACGGTCCCTGCACCGTGAGGTCTCTGTGCTGTGCAAAAACACCTCCCCAAAGCCAGGCAGGAGCTGCTCGGCCCCAGCCACCTCGGGGTGGAGGTGACAGCTGCCAGGAGCGTCACCAAACACCGCTCAGACGTGCTCAGGGCAGGATATGGAGTATCCCATATCCAGCCTGGGGGCCCCATGGGGACAGCGAGCCCCATGGGGGGACAGCCTGCACGTGGCCTGGGCTCACCCCGAGGCAGCAGTCGGCACACGGGGGGAGCTGGGCCCCCCAGCATCCCCTCCACGTGCCTTCCCCTGCACCAGCAGCTGCCACCCACGTGCCTCTCTCTGGTTTCCAAAAGAGGGAGAGAGCTTTAAAAATGGGGTCCCCGCATCAGCTGCTCCCTGGAAAGGTGCAGGGGCTGCTCAGCCACCCCGAGAAATGCAGGAGCAGCTGCGGGGCTGGGGCATCAGCTGCCGCGGGGGGGCTGCAGTTGGTGGGGTTGGGGACGCTGGGTGCTGCTGGAAAGGGGGCCACCAGCGTGCCGGGGGTCAGCAGCAGGGAGAGCTGCTTGGGGCACGTCTCAGGTTACCAAACCTTCACATCCAGCGAGGATAAGCCTCTGGTTTCGCTCAGCCTCGGGGGAAATGCAGCTTTCCTGTTCATGTGGGGAAAATCTCTACCAAGACGGCTCGACACGCTCAGCGCCAGGCTGCTCCGCACCGCCGGCACGGTCAGGGAGCAGGGAGGGATTTTGGAGATGCATTTTTGGCCCCACACGTGCTGCCCTGGACGGCTGCGGGGTGGCAGGGCTTCCAGCCAAAAAATCCCAGCTATGCAGCACGGGCAGGCGGCCGGCACCACCGAGGAGCCCGGCCACCGCCAGCTGCCCCACACAGGAACGCGTCCCCTCCCCATAAATAATCCCAAAGCAGGGGCCTGGGTGGCTGACCCGGTGCCCCACTGGCAGGAGGATGGGCTGGGGGTGCCGTGTGTCCCCCCAGCCATGAGCAGAGGCTCGGGGAGGTTTTGCCAGCACAGACCTGACACCGACACCCAGCCCTCGCGCGGGGCCACGACGCTGATTCCTCGCTGA